ACAAGTGCTGTACTTGCTTCTCCAAGAGGGACTTGCTTCAAGCTCAGCTCTCCTGGGAAAGGAAGGCTCTGGTCCATGGGCATCAGGGTTCAGACTGGGACACAGGAAGTCCAGAGAAGAAAACAGAGAAGCACTGTAACGCAGTAACTGTTACCTTAGCTGCAAGACTGAGCCGCTGGCTGGTTTTCAGTGGGACACAGTGCTTGACAGGTCAGCCTGTGATTGTGGGGGACCAATTCTAGGGTAACTGCCCTGCTCCGCCCAGACATTGAAATCTGCAGCTGACCTGGTCCCTTCCGTGATGTGTCATCTGGGACCTGCACACATCTTCCTGTGTATATCCAGCTCTGCATTATGTGTAACACCTGGTACACTGTCATGCTGTGTGAACCAAATCATTGTTTGGGCAATGACAGCCAAAAGATAACCATACCTGTTCAGTACAGATGCAGGGTTTTTTCCCCTGAATATTTTCTATCCATGGGTGGTTGATTTTGTTTTGCTTAGTTTAGTTTTTGAGACAGAGTCTGCTCTGTAGTGCAAGATAGCCTTGAACTCATTTTGTAGCCCAGGTTGGCCTCAGATTCAGGATAATCTTCCTGCCTCAGCCTACTAAGTGATGGGATTACAGGCATGTGCCGCTACACTTGCTTTATGCATTGTTGGTTCAGTCCACAGATATTTAACCCATAGAACCAGAAGGTTTCTGGGATGCTGGAGCAGGAGGATCTCTACGAGTTTAAGGCCAGAAGAGACTACATTGTGAGATCCTATCTCAAAAAACAAAGATACAGACAGCTGACTATACTGTCATTGAAAGTGTGTCTGTAGCAAAAGGGAAACTCATACTTAGTTAGTGAGGATCCACTGAGGAGAGAAGTGAGGTTTATTTAGGTACCTAATTTTCTTAGTATCTATGACCCGGAAAGGAAGATATATGTTTCCTTATGCTGATACCCCAAACAAAAATATTTTAATAAGAAAAACTGTTAGTAGAAAACCAAAGCTCAGTTAAGTGAACATGAAGTTCCTGTAGAAATAATCTTCTAATAGTGTAGCTCAACTTGAATTCTTACAGATCTTAAAATTTACATTTTTAAAAAAGTGAACATAAAGTTATACCAAAAATTATTTTTTGTCATATTTTAATACTGTAACCTTTCTGAGCCTATGTAAAAGTTCATATTGATTATCATAAAAATTATTGAAATAGAACCATATACTGAAGTTGGGTTAGTGTTGTTAACCAATTAAAACTTGCATGCATAAACTCTGGTGCTTTTTCGCTGCTTTTTTTGACAGTGCGGAAGATCAAACTCCAGGACCTCGTACATGCTAGGCAAGCACTTTCCTGCTGAGATATGTCCCCAGCCTGTCTGGTGTAATTTGTTTTGTTTTGTGATGCTGGGGATTGAATCCAGAACCTTCACACTGGGTTATATCCCCGTCCTTTTTATTTTTATTTTGTGACAGGTTTTTTTCTAAGTATCTTGGATGGGCGCAAACTTGAGATTCTTCTGCCTCACCCTCCCTACTATCTGAGATTGAGAGTATGTACCACTATACACCAACTCTGGTATTGTGTTCTGAAGGTAGCTTACTTTACTTTTAGCAAGCTTGTTGAGTTTTTGGGTTGCAAACTTTGAAAAAAATAATTGACTTTCCATTTTGATTTTTTGCTTTTTTGAATTCACTATTCTCCCAAACTAAAAAGTAAATAATGCAAACAGCTCCTGGGCTCTGTATTCTCTCCAGCAGGCTTCCCCGCCCTGCAGGCTTCCCCCTCGCAATGCACAGAGCAGTGCCCACCTCCACCCAGGAGGTTCGCCAGCCGCCCAGCTCCATGCCCACTTTCACAGTGAAAGCCATCTCCAGACTCTGCCCCATATCTGGCAGGGTGAGTGGCAAAGATCTACTGTGACAGCCATGGAGTTTTGTTTTGATAAAAGCACTGTAGATTTTTCCAGTTTTGTTATAGTGGGGAGTGATGAACTGCCTTAATGGTGTGTGTGTGTGTGTGTGTGTGTGTGTGTGTGTGTGTTTATTGGTACCAGAGATCAAATTCACCACCACGCACTTGTAATGTAGGAGCTTATGCCGCTGAGCTAAATCCCCAGCCCTGTTAATGGTGTTTTTAAAATATGGTTCTTTCTCTCTCCCAAAATTATACAATTGAAAATTTCTTTATTTTTCTTGAAGGGCAGTGTTTTGATGGGGTGCTTTGTTGGTCTGAGGTATTTTGTTTTGTTTTGTTGAGACAGGGTATTGGCTATGTTGTTCAGGCTGGCCTTGAACTCACTATGTTGCCAGGCTGATCTCAAACTCATGGTAGTCCTCCTGCCTCAGCCTCCCAGGTTCTGGGATTACAGGCGTGTGTCGCCTAGTTTGAGAACTTTTTATTCTGTAAACTTTACCTTAGTTGTGGGAGGAAGATATAAGTAAAGTTCACAAATAGTAAGATATTTATTGTACTTCCACTAGTGGAATCATAGTAACGAGAAATCATGTTACCAGAGGATGCTTTGGACATTTATTATCCTGGGTGGGGTGCTAAAAGCTGGGGTTACCATCTTTGAGTCCCTGTGTTTTATGTGAATGCATAGAATGTCACATGTACATGTTACACTGGTTGATGCCTATGTCACTAACTCACAAATTCATGTAAAGATGAACATTGGCTTGGTGTCATATTTCCTTTCCGTAGATATGAAAAGTAGCATTGACATTATATGGAACTTTATAAGATTTAAATGTTTTAAAAATCTATTAAATAAAAGCCAAGCATGGTGGCACAGGCCTATAATCTCGACGCTCAAGAGGTTGAGGCAGGAGGATCATTGGAGTGTGAGACCAGCCTGGGCTACAAAGTGAGCTCAAGGCCAGCCTGAACTGCATAGTAAGACCCTGTCTCACAAAGACCAAAGAAAAAAATTTTAGTTTAATTTAAAAAATAAATAAAATCTATTAATATTTTTCCCAGAGTAAAATAAATAGGATTTTTTCAATTTCCTGTTTTTCTTCTATAAAAATTTTTTAAACATTTTAAATCAGAATGTAAGAAAACTTGGCATATGATTTTTAAACAAATATGAACTTTAAAATGATGTAAAAAAAGTTTGACATAGTGGTACATTTGGGAAGCTGAGGCAGGAGGGTTGCAGGTTCAAGCATAGCTGGGTAACTTAGTGATTTAACAAGAGCCTGTCCCAAAATAAACAATGAAAAAACGACAGGGGATGCAGCATTGCAAAGGCTTGGATTTAATCCCCAGTACTAAAAAATACATATTTTTTAAATTTCAAAATCAGTTTTATTGCAGCCAAAACATAATAAACTATTTTTTATATGTACACATTTTAAGTTATAGAGAATAAAGTTTATTTTGACAGATAGTATTAAACAAAATTAAAGTTGCAGGGCTGGGAGTTTAGCTCAGTGGCATAAGTGCCTGGTTGGCAAAGGCAAGGTTGAGTTCAATCCCCAGTATAAAAAAAAATTAAAGTTGCATACATTAGTAACATAACCCAACATCCTTAAAATCTGGTAAAGTATGACACATGTTCTTGCTTTCTTGTGTTCTGCTGGATCGTCATACCGGTATATTATATGTATGCTACACCCACCTTTTCCTTGGAATTTGAGTATTTTAAGGTAAATTCCAGATACAGCATTACTGCTTAAATGCATCAGTACTCATCTCTATAGATAGTCTTTTTTACAAATGATAATCCCAATACAATTATCTCACTTAACAAAGGGAAGACTAACTCTCAGTACCTATTCTTAGTTTGAATTTCCTGAGGTATTTTTAAAAATTTTTTTCTTTTTCTGGTGTTTTTGAGACAGTCTTGCTATTGGTCTAGGCTGGCCTTGAACTCACTATGGAGCCTTGGCTGGCCTTCAACTAGCAGCAGTCTCCTGCCTCCACCTTCCAACTGCTGAATTGTTTATTGTACAATAAACCACACCTGGCAGCATAATTTATTTTTTAACCTGGCACCATTTCTTTTTTTTTTTTAGACAGGGTCTCGCTATTGGTCTTGAATTCACAACAATCCTCCTGCCTCAGCCTCCCGAGTGCTGGGATTACAAGTGTTCGCCAGCGTGCCTGGCTAACCATTTCTTATTAACTTCTAAATCATCTGGGAAGAAAACAGTTTAGAACTCTCACATAAAATTGGTACAGAATACTTTACCTTCCCAGAAGCATGACACGATAGAATGCGCCATCTGTCACAGTGAGAGCAGAGTGCACAGGGCTTTCCCTGGGACCTGACTGCCCTGCAGCTGAGGGCGCAAAGGGTGCTGTGAGGTGCATAGAGCTCCTTCCCCTGGCGTGCCAGTCTTTCATTGTGCTTCCCCAGGGGGTGTTGAGTTTCCCTTTGGCTCTGGCTTAGGAGCGCCAACATTTTTACTTTGTCCTTGAGGAAACTGGCATGTTCTGTACCTCTCAGCGTGGCCCTTGGTAATGATGAAGGCCTGGTAAATCAAGTGGCCCAGGAGGAATCTCGTTGGCCAGGACTCCTTCTTCTTTGTTTCAGTTTACCCAGTGCCCAGGTGGACCCTGGCAGGTGGTGGCCAGTTTAGATTCACTGTTGAACGAACTGCCTGATTGTGTCCCCTTCAGCCTGTTCCTCACTGGCCCTAGACCTAAAAGCTACCAAATTGTTCCGTTGTGTTTCCAAAGCTCGTGACAAAGACATCTCATCCATCACCTCCGTTTCTGAAGTATATTTTAAAATGAGAGCAATGGTAATGATTTCTGACATGTGCAAAATGTACCACAGCTTGTGCGTAACACCAGTGCTGCGTTCAGTGAATGAATAGATCCTGCCCTTAGTGTGGGGTCGTGAATGCATAGATCCTGCCCTTCAGTGTGGGGTCTCAGGTCTTTACGGGGCCAGGACAAAATGCTCTTAGTGTAAAACTTCACTGAGATGTTATCTTGAAGTGTTGGCTCAGTAAAATCGTGGGGGTTTCTTGTCTCTTTGTTTTTCCAGCAAAAAAGTGTTTTGGCCCCTGAATCACAGGGGCACCACCAAGGCTCTTGGCTCCTTTTCCTCTCACGGATCCGCTCGGGGCTGCGAGGCAGCTGGAATTCGCAGAGACCCTGACCACTCGGCGTCCAGAGGAGGCGCTCCTGCTGGCTGTGTCTGGGGTTTCCTGTTTCTTTTGGCAGCAGGAATATTCGTGGATACTTCAGAATCACATTGTGTGGCCTGTGCTAATGGTTTCTCTTCAAAAGACAACTTAGCTAAACCATTTGTGATTCTGTCTTGCTTGAACCAAGGAAAAGTTTGAACAGTAGCCTCGTCAGCCCTGCCTTACCTATGACCACTGACCGTTCCTCTAAAGCCACCGTCAACCATAATGCTGCTCACTGATGAAAACCAGGTATTTCTGTGTATTCACTGATTTTTAAACCAAATGGCCCCAAAACTCTAAATATAATTAGGAGAGTTGCACTACAAAGACAGCTTCTGTGAAAGGAAGAAAAATTATACTGAGTGGTCAGTTTTATTCCTAAAGACAACAGTTACAGTTTTTATGCTGGTTCTCTGGTACACGTGTAAAGTATAAAACACTCATCAGTAAGACTTCCTAGTCTATGTAAAAGGAAGCTTTTCTAGGACTGAGAAGGTACCTCACTGGGAAAACGTATGCATTGCATGCACAAAACTCTGGAGAGGAAAAAAAAGGTAAAATTAACCTTTTTGAAACTATCACTTAGCAAATTTTGATAAAGCTGTTCTTCATTGATTCTGTAAGTAGCTGGAAAGGCTGTTAAAATGCGCCCAATTTCCAAGAGCATATCTGTTTAAAACTTGATTTTATTTTTAAGTTTCATTCAATAAATTGCAAAACAAAACAAAGTACATCTGAGTGAAGAAGCCGCGAGTCTGCTGCCTGCCACTGTGAAGAATGCGCCAATTTATGAGAGGTTTATTTGGGCTCAGCACCACCCCCTCACCCCCCTCCCACCCCCACTAGGGCATGCCCCCTTCACCTGACTTCCAACCATCGCCCCAGCCTCCCAAGCTTCCGCTAGCTCCCAGGAACACTGGGAAGTAACGACCAGCCCTTCAGCATGTGAGTTTTTGGGATTTAAGATCCATATAAGATGGAAAATTACAGCTACTGTATCTTATATTGAGCCAGACAGCAAGGAGACTTGCAAAAATTTAAGACAGTCTACTTCTCTCAGTAAGCTTTTGTCTGTCTGTCTGTCTGTCTCTCTATCTCTCTGTTGTTTTTTTTAAATTTTTCTTTTATCAGACAGGGCTGCCCTTGAACTCAGTATGGAGTCCAAGCTGGCCTCGATTTGTGGTGATCCTCCTGCCTCAGCCTTCTGAATGCTGAGGTTACAAACACATGGCTTCACAACACTATTTTTCATTTGGAAAGTGTTCTTCATTAAAAATGTTATTGCCAGGTGTAGTGGTGCACATTTGTAATCCCATCTCTTGGGAGGCTGAGGCATAAGGATTGTCGTGAGTTCAAGGCCAGCCTCGACTACATAGCAAGACCTTATCTCAAAACAACAAAACAAAATATCAAAATTTAAAATCTTTTTTTTTTTTCTTTTTCTTTTTGAGACAGGGTCTCACTATGCAGTTCAGGCTGACCTTGAGCTCACTTTGTAGCCCAGGCTGGTCTCAAACTCACAACAATCCTCCCGCCTCAGCCTCCCAAGTGCTGAGATTACAAGGGTGAGCCACTACACCCAGCAATTTAAAATGTTTTTACATTAACATTGTAATGAGTTTATTGCTATTTTTTTGTTTATTGATTTTTTTTTTTTTGTCTTTTTCGTTTTTACCGGTACCAGGGATCAAACTCACGACTGTCTGCTTGCAAGGCAGGCATTTTATGCTGCTGAGCTAAATCCCCAGCCCCCTGTTTATTGATATTTTTAAGTAAAATAATAAATCCTTCTTTGCATTTTAAATTTCTGATATCATGTATCTATAGCCCCCGCACTTGGGAGGCTGAGGCAGGAGAATCGCTGCAATTTCAAGGCTAGCCTGAAATATATAGAAAAACTGTCTGGAAAATAAGTAAATAAATAAATAAGTAAAGTTTAGTGTGAACCTGTAACCCCAGCTCTCTGGGAGCCTATGGCATAAGATTGACCCCAGCCTGGGCCATTTAACAACTCAGTGAGTCGCTTTTGCAAAATGAGAAAGGGCAGAGGGAGGAGCAAGATGGTGGATAGATAACAACTGGCTACAGAGGCTCCCTGAGATAGTCAACTTAGAATTCAACTTAATACAGAGTGGGGAGCCCCAAGCAGAGGGAGATGAATTCTCTCATCCCAAGAAGAAATTAAGGCGACTTGCTGACCATCCAAGGTCCCGCCGCAGCTTGCCAAGGTCCCTCCGCAACTTGCTGAGCTGTCCAAGATCCCACTGCTTTGACATTGAATTCAGGGGTGGCGAGCCAAAGGGAGAGCTGAGTTGGCAGGGTGCCTACATCGACCTGTAGTGAGTGACGGGAGTGGAGCCATACCATAAATAGGGGGGCTCCGGCAGATGACATTCTGGGACCAGGCAGTACTGGCAAGTACAAAAGGCAGCAGCGACTTCAGTCAGTTGCTCCCTTCCTGAACAGGGTTGGTGGAGTCAGCTAGGCCCGGGTCACATGACCTGGCTGAAACCCAGTAGGTTATCCAAAATCAAGTCCCTACAGTGGAGACCTCTCACCACCGGCCGGGAGTGACTGGGCGCCCACCAGCTGACCCCACCCCTGACCTTGTGGCTGCAGGCCCGGAGGGGAGGCACTGCAAAGTCTGCCACTGCTGCCGTCTCTGTGCTCCAGCTACCGCCATCCCGAGGGGAGGTGAGGCAAAGCAATGCAGAGCAGGCCACAGCACTTGACTGATCTGGAGGGGAGGGGCCAGCATATGCTGCCCCTGTCTGCGACTCACTAGCACACTGCAGTGTGAAGGGTCATCTGGCCAGCGTGCTTCAGAAGAATTGTAACCAACAAAGAAAGAAACTGGGGCCTCCTGGAAGAAGCAAATAAATGGGAAGAGGAAGCAAAACAAAAGGTCCCCAGGCCCCAACCCTGAGAACACTGACCCATGACAGGTAAATACAGAGGAGAACGAGAACAGCAAACATACAATATCAGACACAGCACCAGTGGACATAAAGAGATACATTCGGGACCCTATAGATGAGTTCAGAAGTGAAATATTTAGCCAAATAAAGCAAGATATAAGAAAATTAGTTAAAAAGATACTAAGCATCCTTCAAACAGACACAGAAGAAGGGAGAAACTGAAACACAAGAGAGAACCATTTGGTGAAGAATATTAAAAAAATATAGAATACATGAAGCAGATTCAAAGAGATTACCAGGAAATTAAAAACTCTATGGCAAAATCAGCTTGAAAGAAACTAAGGATAGATTATTGAAACTGGAGGACAATTTTGCAAGGTGGGAATATGAAAGGGAAAACTTTTTAAAAATAACAAGGAAACAAGAAGTAACAATACAAAGGCTAGAAGATGACAAAAGGATCTATAACTTGAGAATAAAGAATGTGAATGAAGAAGCTGGGGTACAAACAAAAGAACTACAAGGTTTTTCACAGAAATAATTAAGGAAGGGGCTGGGGAGTTAGCTCAGCGGCATAAGCGCCTGCCTTGGAAGCAGGCGGTCGTGAGTTCGATTCCTGGTACCAATAAAAAGGAAAAAGACAAAAAAAAAAAAAAAAAAAAAGAGAGAGAGAGAGATAATTAAGGAAAACTTCCAAACATAGGAAAAGGAAATGATATTCTGATATATGAGGTATACAGAACTCCAGCCACCTTCAACCAAAACAGAGCTACACCCAGGCAGGCATATAATAACCAGAAATTCAATATAAGAACAAAATATTAAAAGCTGTTAGAGACAAGGAACAACCTATAGAGGAATGCCCATCAGAATAATTGCAGACTTCTCGACACAAACCATCAAGTCAAGAAGAGCCTGGAGCGAAATATTCCAAGCCCTGAAAGAAAATAACCTCCATCCCAGATTGATATACCCTGCTAAACTGTCTCTAGAAATTAATGGAGAAACAAGATGCTTCCAAGACAAAGCGGAACTTGGGAAATTCACAACCACCAATCCAAGTCTACAGAGAATACTGCAGGGCATTCTAGAGAGAGAGAAAAGTACTAGGATTCCGGGAACAGTGGGAGAGAGGCCTCAATGAATGGAGCAGGAAACAGAATGAAGATAAGCAAACAACTGATGGCAAACAAGAGCATGACAGAAATGAGGCGGAGCAGATTTTATTTAAAACTGATATGATTGATAGTATCAAGTCTGAGAGTATAGGCAACTACACTGAAAATAATAAGACTCTACAATATACATTCTGGTTTGATAACTGCCGGTTTTTGAAGTTCTATACTATATACAAAGTTGTATATTATTCTTTGTTCAGAGTGATATTAGCCTGCTTGGGTTTATTCAATGTCAACATAATTGAAGATATGAATAACTGCATGTATGTTTAAGTGTATAGGATTGATAACCGTATTCTAAGTTTTTGTTGGATAGTTGAACAGAACTGGTTGCAATCTCACTGTTTGAATCCCCACTTTATAAGCTCCACTTTAGTATCTTGATTAACTATTTGTAAGAAGACAGTCTGTAATCATCAACTAGTGATTTCTTACTGTTTATTTTTTCTTTGAAATTATGTATTATTTCTACCCATTTTCTGTTTTGTTTAGTCTTTCTTTAAATTAAATTTTTTTAAAAAGGCACTACAGTACCCAGTGCTGATCACGGAGTGTCATGATGTAAAATCCAGCAATACTATTATTCTTTGTTCAGAATGATTTTAACCTGCGTTAGTTTGTTTAATCAACATAAATGAAGCTATGGATAACTGCATGTATGTTTAAGTGTATAGGATTGACAACCACGTTACTAAGTTTTTGTTGGACAGTTGAACAGAACTGTTGGCAGTCTCGCTGTTTGAATTCACACTTTACATATTCCACTCTTGTACCTTGAGCAACTATTTGTAAAACGACAATATGTAAACATCAACTTGTGATTTCTTACTGTTTATTTCTTTCTGTGAACGTATGTATTATTTCTACCTATTTTCTGTTTTGCTTAGTCTTTCTTTAAATAAAATTTTTTTTAAAAATGAGAAAGGGCTAGGGTTCAATCCCCAGAACCGCACAAGAAAAGGAAAGGTGGAAGCATTCTGCCTCCACCCAGCCTCCTCTCAGAGAGCAGGAGTGTGCCTCTTGGTCCCACTGCAGCTTGGCTTTCTTGAGAAGGGTCTCACTGTGTAGCCCAGGCTGGCCTCCTCCTGCCTCAGCCTCCGGAGTGCTGGGATTACACGTGTGCCCATCACACCCTGCTTTCCCTGAGTCTTCAATTAGGAAGCTCTGGGGCTAGATGTTCCCTTCTGTCCCCTCCAGGACCCCTGCCTTTGTGATGGCTGGTGAGCAGAGAAGGCTCTTGCTTCCTTAATTTGATTTTGTTTGAGAGTGCTGTGGGTCAGACCCAGGCTTCCAGTACTGACAGAGACTTCATCACTGAGCCGCATCCCCAGCCTTCTACTCTGCGAAGTGCTGGGGAAATGGAAGCATAATGGTACTTTATATTTGCTTCAGATTTCACTGTGTGTAAGAAAGTCTTGTTGGCACATAAACACGCTGGTGGGTTTCTTCAGGTCTCTGCATTCACACCAGGGCAGCAGATGTGGTGCGATTGTCAGGACCTCAGCCAGATGACCCGCCACGCCAAAGCATTCACTCTCTGCCCCTTCACAGAGCAGGTTTGCTGGCCTTGATACAGAATGACTCCACTTTGATCCGTCTTATTTATTATTCTTCCCCTTGGAAGTGCACATGGAGAAAGTGTCCTACTGCCTTAAAACAAGTCTTTTTAAAAAAAGTATATAAACTTTCCCAGATGTCAGTGCAACAATCGGAGTGGTGTTGGTGTTCTCCTGCCCCTGGGCAGCACAGGGTGGGGGCCACCGAACAGCTGCACATCCAGGGCAGCAGTAATGTGTGTCACAGGTGACGGAGGACCAGGCATTGGTGTCAGCAGAAGTTTTCAGTCTGAGAGCGATAAGCATATTCCTCCTTATAATTTAAAGGTATTCTCCTTAGGCGGGAGTTTAAATATAGCTTAAGAGGAAATCATTTGACCTATATTCCTTCCCTCCAACATTGAAGGCTCGCAGATTCTTGTCCATCCAGCAAACTCCCGCTCTGGTGCGCTCTTCCTAATTTAAGAACACACACCCTGAAAATGTGGCTCTAATTTAGCTGCCTCTCCTGTTTCTGTAGCATGCCGTGCATTCCTGTTATTGTTGTTTGCTTGCTTCCTCTGTGGTGAACTCTTACGTAAGCTTCTTTGATGTCTTCTTTGTTAGACAGTGAGGGACTGTTCCTTATGTTTAGTGTAATATTTCAGCATGTTGTCTTTGGAGTTAGGTTTATTAGTCAGTTGGTTACCAATGTTTTATCCTAAACTGGGTCCTTTTTCCATCTCAGAATTGAATCACTAACAAGACCAAAAGCAGACTGAACACAGAAGGAGACTTTTATTCTTGGCGTAGAATGGAAACAAGGGGGAGATAATCTGGAAAATCAGCTCCTCTGCCCCTCGGGCTGGGAGGCTATGGATCCAAGAGGGATGAGGGGATGCTCCAGGGCTAGGCTAAGAAAGAGGAGAATGTCTGTGTCTTTTCTGGGACGAGGTGGAGATTTTCTAGGATTGGAGTGCCACCTTTGCTCCTTTTAAGATTCTTTGCTTCATTCTTCTGGCACCTGTCAATGGACTTAGTGCCGAGGAATTATATCGAAGGCCGAGTCTCTGTCAGTTTCTGCAGACCTCTTCTAGCCACTCAGTTTCGTCTAGGAGCCCTTGGCCGCCTGTCCTCAGAGATAAACCGGGTGAGGCATCCACCAGCCCCACCTAAAAGAGCCCTTGAGGCTTGTAGGGGACGTCTAGATGGAGACCATAAGGGGTCAGCCCCAGAAGTTCGGAGTTAAAAAGGCCAGGGTGGTATGCAGCTGAAGGCCCTGCGTTTGGGTTCCACTGCCGGAGTGAGGGGGACCCACACTTTCCCATATGGCACCCCACATCTCAGGGCGACCCATCTCTGTGTCCGAGTAAGCCTGTGGAGAGTCCGCCACTCTGTGGGTCAGTGTGGGCCGACAGCTGGGCGGCTCCTGCCGTGGTGACATCTCTAACGTCTAATGTGCAGTGCTCTCGGGAGACTGGGAAAGTTCGTCAACAGACGCAAAATTGATCTTTCCGCAGATGCTGTTCTAATCTTTACATTAGTTTGCTTTGAGCTAAGGGTTACTGTTATTCCCATTTTGACATGAGACAGCCGAAACAAGGATTGTAAAATGCCATGGTCACTTAGCTAAAAAGAGGTGGAATTGGGATTTGAATTTAGAATTTGCATATTGGATGTGTGCTGTATTCTTTTTTATTAGTACATAGTCACAGTATGTAATGATTATGTTCCTTGTGAGGAGGTGGTACATGTATAACACACCGTATTTCATTTTTTTTTTTTTCTGGTACCAGGCATCAAACTCACAACCTCGTGCTTGCCAGGCAGGAACTGTGCCACTGAGCCATATCCCCAGACCCCTAATTTGTTTTTACACCCCTCCATTTCATCAATCTCCCTTTTTTTTTTTTTTTGTCTTTTTGAGACAGGGTCTCGCCGTGCAGTTCAGGCTGGTCTTGAGCTCATTTTGTAGCCTAGGCTGGTCTCGAACTCACAATGATCCTCCTGCCTCCGCCCCCCCAAGTGCTGGGATTACAGGTGTGAGCCACCGTGTCTGGCAATTTTTTTTTTTTTTTTTTACTGGTACCAGGGATCGAACTCACTACCCTGCACTTGCAAGGCAGGTGCTTACGCCGCTGAGCTAAATCCCCAGCCCCCAATTTCCCCTTTTGCTAAAGACCCATTTCCCTGATTACTCTTATCTTCTTTTACTTTGCTCTTTAATTTATTTATACTCTGGATTTCTCATTTAAGAGAAATGATGCGATATTTAAGCTAGTGTGTCTGATTTATTTCACTTAACACTATTTACTTTCATTAGCAATACTGTCTTACTGGCCATATTCCATATGTGACTTGTAGTTAATCTAAGGTAACTCCCTTGAAAAGTTTCAAGTTTATTTGCACTGCCAACAATGTGACAGATAACACATATTTGTGCTAAGTGAATTAATGAATTGGATGGTATTATAAAATTGTAACTAATATAGTATGACCATTGTTTCATTTTTCTTAGCTTCAGGTAATAACTTTTTCACTGCAGGTCTTCTTAGGAAATGCCTATAGCCGACACTGGCTAGTCTGGTTTTTTGTTTGTTTGTATTATCTTTTTGAGACAGGGATTCTCTATGCAGTTCAGGCTGGCCTTCAACTTACAGAGATCCTTCTGCCTCAGCCTCCCAAGGACTGGGATGATAAGTCTGCAACACCACGCCTAGCAGCACTGGCTATAAGGAAGCCTCCACTTTTAAGATTACAAAAATGTGGGCAAAGAAATTCCTTACTAAATCTATTTGTATTCCTAAATTCATTTTTGTTTGCCAACACTCAAAACTTCTGTGTGTTTTATTTAGCATTTTTCCTTTTTTTGGCGGGGGGGGGGCTCTGTTGAATATGGATTTATTGGTATTAGGTAGCTTTGCATTGTAACAGATCACTGAATCCTCATAAAAGAAGCTTTACGGAATTTAGACATGCTATTCATGATACTCAACTTTGGTTCCAGAACTTTGAAGGCAATAATGATCTTTAACTTTGCTTTATTTTACATGTTTCTTTCAGAATTCTCCACTTTATCAGTACTTACAAGATTTGGGACACACAGACTTTGAAATATGTTCTTCTTTGTCTCCAAAAACAGAAAAATGCATGACAGAGGGACAACAAACACCTCCTCCAAGAGTCCTATCAAAGGTGAGCAAGCGTGCATGTCCTTTTTATCATTTAGCGGTGTTTTGACTGATACCTAGAAGACCAGAGTCAGGGGCTTAGCACTCACACCCAGGCAATGCTAGTCAAGCACTGTGCCCAGCCTTCTTTTTTTTTTTTGTATTGGGATCAAACTCGGGACCTTGCACTTGCCAGGCAGGCGCTCTGTCACTGGCTGTATCCCTGGCCCACTCCACCCTTTCTCACATTTTGACCCAGAGTCTCACTAAGTTACTCACACTGGCTTTAAATTTGCAGTCTCTCTGCCTCAGCTTCCCAAGCATAATAACTGGGATTACAGATGTTCAGCCACTAGAACCATTTTTCTAATCATCTGTAGTTATTCTTCCCATTCTCCTTTTCAGGAATGGATGTTCTGAGGTGGGTGTGGTAGTGCTCGCCTATATTCCCAGCACTCAGGAGGCTGAGGCAGGAGGATCGCCAAGAGTTCGAGGCCACCCTGGGCTACATAATGAGTTCAAGCCCAGTCTGAACTACATAGTAAGACACTGCCTCAAAACCTTCTCTTGAAAAAAATTAAAATTAAAATAAAAAGATAAATATTTTTGGGAAAGAGTTTGAAAGCAAAACCTAAAGCCATATCTGATATGCCATTTGTAGACTAATCTTTTTCATTTCTGACAAGTACTTTATATATAGAAATGTTGTTTAGTTTATAAAGAAATGAGAGCTTAAAATTTCATCCCCTCAAAAATCAAGGAACAGTAAAAAGCCTAAGCAGATGATGTTTTCAAAAATCACCACAGTAGTCAGGTGTGGTGGCATGTGCCTGTAACCCCAGAACTTGGGAGGCTGAGGCAGGAGGATCGTTGTGAGTTCAAGACCAGCCTGGGCTACAAAGTTCGCTCAAGCCTAAACTGCATAGCGTGACCCTGTCTCAAAAAAAAAAAATCATCATGTCAAAAAAGTGCCTTTATTCTTCATACTGCACTTGTCTAAAGGCAACAACATTTTAACTGTGAACTCCATGTCTCTAAAATGAATTTTGTTATTAAATTACTCGGTCATTCTCAGGGAAAATTTTTAGAATTGCCCACAAAATTCTGTTCAAAGAGTGAAATAGCAGTTATTTTCTTTGGAAAGCAATTTTTGTATGTGATCTTGAAGAAGCAGTCATTAGTGTTATACTTGCTTTCTCTCTTTTAACTTTATTTTCTCATGTGATTATTATGTTCTTATTAAGTAATCTGTCCTGGCATTCCTACCACAAATACTCATTCTCTATCTTTTCTGGATTTTTTTCCTGCAATGATTCTTCTGTTCATTTGATTTCAGTTTAGTTTTTTTATTTTGTTTTTGTTTTTGAAACAGTGTCTCACTATGGAGTTTCAACTGGCCACACACTCATGACAGTCCTCCTGTAGCAGCCTCTTGAGTGCTGAGATTACAGGCCTGCACCACTTCAGGGATGATTTCTAAATGTTCTTTGCATTTTTAGTGTCAGGCCGCTTCTTTCCACCCTGATCAATTTCATCTACTTCTTGGCTGCTTACTGCAGTCTTGCTGAGTTCCAGGGACTCATTAGACATTTTCACCTGTACATGCCCCGAAAGCTCAGATTCAGCAGGGTCACAACAGGACTTCTTCACTTATTCAGCCACTCCCCTGAACAAACAAGCAACATAGATTTTCTCTATTCCCAAAGTACTGTTCCGAAACAAATGCCATTACTATCTTAACTCAGATAGCGAATAATGTTCCCAAGATAAACGGGCTGCAGCAGGGTGTCTTCTCACAATTTTTTAAAGCCTGATTTCCAGGCTTCATTCCAAACCTACTGAATCAGACCCTGTAGTTTGTGGGTCCAGAAGCACGTTTCTATCTAAAATCCCTGGTGAGTTTGTTGTATAACTAAACTTAGAAACTAATGAGGAGGCTGAAATAGGCTGGCAAAATGTATAGCCTGGGTAATTGTTTCCTCCCTTTTTCTGATAAAAATTCTGACTACTTAGAAGTCAATTACTTGAAGTTTCTCTGCTTCCTGGTATGTTCAACAATCCTGTACAATATCATTTGTCTCTCTTCAGCAGGGCATCTTGTTAAAAGTGGCTGAAACCATCAAAAGTTGGATTTCTTTTTCTCAGTGTGTTAAGAATAATGACTTGCTTCGTAAATTGGTGAGTATTCACATCTTTGTCATTTTTCAGAGGTTCTTTTTATTAGTAAGATAATTGATGAATTAGAACTTGTTTTGCTACCAACTTGGGCAATGATTAATTTTTATTACAAATAACTGGGGACCTTGTAATTTGGGCTTATTGATATTCTTCATAGCTTTATGGAAGGCTATTTGCCATGTAGAACAGACTGTTCTAGTTGTTATTCAAACTAATTTATTGCAATTACTTTTTCCATAACAGGTGTTTCTCTCGGGGAGGAAGGGAATGTATCTATTAGTAGGCTCAGTTCAGTCTTGAGAGTCTGGTAAATTACAGAGCTTCCCAGAGACTTGAAATAGTCAACTTTGCGTGGGACGTGGTTTCGCACACCTGTAATCCCAGGAATCAAGAGGCTGAGGCAATAAAGTCTCTGAGAATTTGAAGCCAGTCTGGGCTACAAAATGAGTTCAGGCCAGCCTGAACTGCAGCAAACCCTGTCTCAAAAAGAAAGAAAGAAAGTCAACATTGAGAGCTTTGTGATTCCCCCCACCCCTGTCTCTGCTGTAATGTGACTGCCATTTAACCTATTACCGCAAAGGGGGTGTGTTTCGATTTTCTTACAGCCTAAGCTGGTATAGTGAACTTTTTTAAGGTGTTAAGCTCTTGAGGGCAGCACATGGTGGCACTCTCCTGTTCTGCCAGCATTTGGGAGGATCACAGCAAGTTTGAGGCCAGCCTGGGCTATGTAGTGAAGTTCAGAGTCAGAACTATATAAAGAAACCATGTGTTAAAAAACAAATGAACAAAAATATTAAAATTCTTGTGGCTCCCAGAAGTAATAATCAAGTTACCAGTAAATGGATTTCAGGATCCTCTGCTGGCCTCACTCTTCTTGTGATTTAACATTCATAAAAAGGTTGTTTACAAAGCACTTTCATGTCTTACATCAGACCACATTATAAGATTTAATGTAGTTTACCAGTGAAGAGACCAAGGTTCAGGCAATCCAGTTCAAGTTAATAACTAGTTTGGTAAAGTATCCAACAACGTCTGGTAGAAGGTGCTAGCGGCAGAACTTGAACCCAGGTCTCCTCGCCCAAAGCACATGTTCTTGCCCTATAGCTTGCATATTACTGTTTTTTGACTGAATTTATGTTTTAGTGATCCATGTTACCGAGTTCTCTGTTCAGGGTGGATCTGTGTAGAAAGTGTATTGAGAAGCTCAGTGTGTCTTGTCGTCTCCTAGAGTGGCAGCTTTGTGCAGGGGTTGTCATCTCATCTGCAGTGACACAAGACCACGGAGGTGCAGAGCTCTGTGAACACCTTCCTGTGGTTTACGTGGAGTCCAGTCCATCGTCCCTGGCCACACATGTCCCATCAGGTCTTACTGCAAAGTGCCAGCCTCTTCCAGATCCCCTTGGTGCCAGGATCATGGAGAATGGCAGGAACATAGAACCAAAGAAATCGTTTATCAGAAACCAAACAAGGAACTGCCCAGTTGGCTTCTGGCATGAGACTGCTTGACTTGTTACATCTTGATTGTGACATATTTAGAATTTCACTATACACATGTTGAAGTAGGCCTTCTTTCGTTTTACAAGAATATTGGCAATTGCTCCTAGATTCATGAATATCTTACTATTATTCTTTTTAATAATGCTTAAAGATTAAAACAAGAGTGATTCCTTTATAACTAAGCACTGTTTAGCCTGTAGCATTCTTTCACACCTGTATTTCATTTGCTCCTCCTATCAGCTTCATGAAATAGCCTTAACTGCAGGTGTCTACGGCCCAGCCACACTACACATGCCTGTCTCATATGAAATAGCCTTAGGATATTGAAAGGTTCGTGGCTTTTATTGGTATGACTCGGGAAGGTGGGCGGGAGTTGTGGCAGTATGTGAGGAGAAAGAAACCTTGTAAGCACTGGCTGTAATGAGAAACAGCAGTTTTGCAAGCATTGGCTGTAATGAGAAACAGCAATTTTGTACCAGGCATGAAGACCTCCAGGTAGCAGTGCAGTGGACGGCTTGATGTATACAGGGGTGGCACCTTTACCAGGTGCAGGAAGGTATAATTCTTCTTAAGTCAGAAACAGCTGAAATGTTATCCCTTGTCTTAGCTCTGGAATCTCACACTCTGCTGCTGTAGAGCCATTCCAGCCATGGGACAGGGAGACTGATGATTCTCACTCACATGCTGCCAGACTCAGTCACAATCTTTTAGCCAAGTAAGGGAGCATCTGTATTAACTTGGCCATCTCTGCATATCTCAGTGAATAGGACTGCAGAAGAGGTTAGGGGAAAATCAAGACAAGAGGCTTTCTCTCTCCACAGAGGGCTGCTTGATAGTTTCCCACAAACCTGGTCTTCTCAGTTCAAATAAAGCTATTAATAACAAACAAACAAAAAAAGATAAGACTGTTGTGACATGTTTCTTAATTTGGCAGTGACTTTTCCTGGACATTTGATTGTCATATTGAATTCCAATTTCCATAGTTTCTGTATTTAATTTTTATATTTAAAGTTTTATATTTAAAGTTTTATATTTATAGTTAAAGAGTAATATAAAACAGGTAATGGCTAGAGAAGCTGAGGCAGGAGGATAATGAGTTCAAGGCTAGCCTGTGCTACATAGTAAATTCCAGGCCAGCCAGGACTACATGGCAAAATCTCATCTCTAAGTAAGTAAGTTAATTAATTAATTAATTAATTAATGTTATTACTTATCCTGAAGAAACTCATTCATTAGTTTAATCTGAATTGACTTAAACAGCTATCATCATCAGAAAACAGTTAAAGGTTTTACTTTGTAGAGGCTACCTAATCAGTAAGATAAGATAGCTTTAGTTCTTCAAAGCATCTTGATCCCTGTCAGCCTCATTTGTATGGCTGGATTATTGTAAATTGTTGGTTTGGAACACTCTTTACTAAAATATAGGAAGGTTGATCCATGGGTACTAAATCACAGATAGAAGTAAGAAGTTGTGCTGTGCTACTAAGGGCGTGACCACAAACAGCAGTAATAATACATGTACAGTGTACATTTCAAATTACTAAATGATAAGGAGGTATGTCTAACCCAATTAAATTGTATGTAAGGTTGACATATGTGGTATTAATTAACATGTACCCACTAATATGTCAAAATAAATTTTAAAATCTACCAGAGATACAGGATTTGAAATCAGGAGTCTGGAAAGTTACTTGCCTTGTTGGGCTGGGCTTTTCGCTGTGTAAAATGGAGAGAGGATTACTGCACACCATAGCTGCTGTGAGATTAACCTGCCTGCTCCAGCACTGCTTCCTCCCTGCGCCTCTCTAACGTGGCTATTCTAATAGTGGCATCAGAGGGTCCCGCCCCCAGATGAGAGCAGCTTCCTTCCTGTCTGCCCTACTCTTCTGCTCTCCCACCTGGCCAGTTCTCATTCATCCTTTAAGACTAGCTCTAGCGTACTTCCTTGATTTTCCCTGATTTGAGATTTGGTCATTCTGCGCTTTGTTCCTAGCATCGTTGGCGTAGTCATCACACTCCTCTGCACATTATGTGGGAACCATTCACTTTTCCATTCTGTCCATTAAACTGCAAAATGTTTAAGACTAAAAGCTTTGAGGCTGGGGGTGTGCCCCAGTGCAGAGTGCTTGTCTTAACATACAGGGTGCCCTGGATTTGATCCCCACACACATGCACACAGCACCCATACACACATGCTCACGTGCCTTAGAAGAGACTTGTATGTCTTATTCATTTTTTGTGTCTTCAGTGTCAAGCCTAGTCCCTGACTTACAGAAGGTGTTATTTGATAGGTAAAGGAAGAAAGGGAGGAATAAATGAGCTGGAATATGTGAAGACATTTTGTAAACTACTATGTGGTTTTCTATTATCTACTTTAATGACATATTTTTAAGTATCTCAGTGTCCATCTGTAGAAGGATTTGATCCTGCTGATCTAATCCTAGATTTGGCACTGGGTTGGTGGCACGCACCTGTGATCGCAGCACTCAGGAGGGTGTGGAGTATCACCATCAGTAGGAGGCCAGCCGGGGGGCCACCCAGAAATGCATAACAAGACCCTGTCTCAAAAAACAAAACCAAGCAAAAATAATAGTAATTCTTCTTCAACTTGGGTTACATTGATTCAGGGTCAGCGTGCTTTCATTGTGTTTTATATGTGGATTACATTTCCCACAGTATATACCAATTTAATTAAGTAGGTTTAAGTAACAGGCTTATTAACCTGTAGTGACTTAATATCTCATCATTAAAACTTTGTATTTCACACCTGGTAACTTAATAATGTCCAGCACAATCTTTATTGTTTCACCTTTGTAGTGAAAATAAAACTCCATTTATCATATTAAAGACAGATTAGACTGGTATTTCTTCTTAGAGTCTGGACTGAAAACACACACCTCTAAATTGCCTTATATATTAGAAACTTGAAGTGTAGCATTTAATAAAATTTTGTGTGTGTATTAATACCTCTCTTCCGGTATTTTAATGGCAAGGATACTGGATTTCGACTCGACTCACTGCATACTATCCTGCAACAGGAAGTTCTGTTACAAGAGGATGTGGAGCTAATCGAGCTACTTGATCCCAGTATCCTGTCTGCAGAGCAAGCTCACCGGCAGGAACATGGACATCTTCCAACGCTCTGCTCCCTGGCAACCCCTAATATTTGGTACTTCCTGAAAGCCTCTACTCTTCAACTGCTTACATACAGGGTATTCCTGGAGGAAATCCGTGCCCGTGCTCCCCATTGTACGGGCATCATAAACATTCATACAGTTAGCATCATGATGGATGTAAGGCTACATCAGTGGCAGGAAACTGCTTGTCTAAAGTAAATATGGTGAAGCTAGGAGAAAAAATCCAGTTTGATTATTATGTGTTTCTAATGCAGTAAAATTAGTTCTGTGCTTAGCAGCCTACCAGAAAGGGGTAAATATGCAGAAAGGAATCTCTTATCCATACATCTTTGCAACCCATTGTTGATATTTCTTTATAAACAACAAATTCTACCAGCCACACCACAGAGACTCTCTAAGGATGGGGTGAGATATGGAGATAAACAATCAGCTGTCGCTATTTTGACTGAGAAGAGAGGAAGGGAACATAATTTGATGGTTTAAAGTAACCTGAAATGCATTTGTGAGATTGAGATAGGAGTTAGGGGCCAGCTTGGGTGACATAGTGAGACACTATCTCAAAAAAAAAAAACAACAAATGAAATAAAAAGTAGCCTGAAACTTTTAACCACTTGAAGCATTTGGGTCTAATGCAGAAGTCCTGGGCCATAATTTTTTTTACAAAAAAGAAAAAGTGGATTGTGAAAAGAGCTCGTAGAAAAGCTCTCTCTGTTGCTCGATTCTGTTAGAGTTTGCTAAGCTTGCCCAAGAGGGCAGAGCAAGTCCAGGGTACCCGAGGCGCTGTGTGGCTGCTCCAGCGCAGAAGCGAGTACAGCCAGTAGCCGTCACGTTCCTGGCGCACTGACAGCTCCTTCTGTGGTAGCAGAGATCTGAGCTCAGTGTCTTCCAGTTCTGCGGTTGCCCAAGCATGCTTATGAGGAACTCAGGATTTTGTCCTTAAACAGTAGAAGAATTTTCCAGGAATGGTGGCACTTAGGAGGCCAAGGCAGGAGAATCACAGGTTTAAGGCCAGCCTGGAAACTTACCAAGATGAGTCTTTTTTTTTTTTTAAAGACCCATCTTCACAGTGGATCTAATGTCTTATCGATTTTGTAGACCTCAGTTTACAATTGCTGTTAGGATTAAAGTATCTCATATTTCTTGTCTGATCAAGACCATTTTCTTGGTTCTCTAGGGATGTTTCAATACTATTTGCCTTCATTAGTTTGCTTGTTATGCTTCCCACCTGGTGGATTGTGTCTTCCTGGCTGGTGTGGGGAGTGAGCCTGTCTGTGTATCTGGTCACTCGAGCTGTAAGATTATGGAGGACAGCCAGACTACAAGTGACCCTAAAAAAATATGGCGTCCGTTTGGAAGACATGGCAGCAAACAGCCGCGCTTTTACTAACCTTGTGAGAAAAGCCTTACGTCTCATCCAAGAAACTGAGGTCATTTCCAGAGGCTTTACACTGTGAGTTCAATTTTCATTGTTTTTTTTTTTTTTTTTGTACTGGGGATTAACTCACAACCTTGCACTTGCCAGGCAGGCACTTAGGCCACTGAGCTAAATCCCCAGCCCTTTCATTTTATTCTTAAATGATTCTTTTCTACTGTATAGTTTAAGGAGACTATTTCTTGCCTGTTTTCATTTTTGTGTTGTGTTTATAGGAAAAAAGCGGGTTACTCTTTATAACTCATTGTGGTCTATGCACTGTTCATTGAAGGGAATGACAGTCCATGCTAGATTTCATACAGAGTCCCATTTTGCTTATCTGCTCTGAGAAACCAAGTGTCTTAAGGTTCCTGAGAGTCTGCATCTATAACCATGGGACTGCATGCAGTTATACGGAAAGCATCTAGTCCTGAGCCCAGTGTACATGGGGAGCCCCGGCAGTGTCTTTCCCTTTACCCCCACCAAATGCCCTTTGTCTAATATAAGTGAGATGTGTCTGGCATGAATACACCTTTGGACTTCTCAGTAATAGTTAATACTCCTTGAAGCTGTGCGTGGTGACACACACCTGTAATCACAACACTTGGGGGCTGAGACCAGAGGATCACTGCAAGTCGGGGGCCAGCCTGGTCTACATGGTGACTTCAAGGCCAACCTGAACTGCATAGGGAAACCCTGTCTCAAAAATAAACAAATAAATAGTAATGATAATAAAACTATAGGTTAGCAGGTACCATGGTACTGGTACTTTCAGAATATTATGCAGATAGTGTTATTTTCTGTTCCCTTAGGAAACTGTTCAGCAGTGCAGCTTTAAGTGGGCTCCAGGCTCTATAGCTGCTTCCCAGTTTTCTTTTATGGGAAAAATCACTTACTGAGCACTAGCTATGTTCTTTCTACAATTCTAGTCACTGTTGGCCACAGCTAGAGTCTACAGTGGTAAATGGTAGAGTAAATACCCACATCCACTCCTTGTGCTTCAGAAGCCTGCTTCCAGTGCACAGCTAACGCTCACAAATGGCAGCTGGACTGTAGCCTGTAGATGGCTAACTTCAGTAACCATCTAACTATGGCAGTCTATAAGTGGGAGGAAATACCTCTATGGTGAAGAAGTCTCATTGCCTTTAATTGGTAGTATCTAGAAAATTTTGAGAAGCGGGAGAGAAAACCCTCTGCCAGGCTTTGCATCCTTCACTCTGCTGTGCTCTAGAAAGCTCATAAACAACCTGGATAAAAGGCTGCCTTTGGGAAACTGGGACACGGAATGGAAGAGTCAACCTGGTTGTGTTCTGCATGACAGTTCTATTTAAATGATCTCTGCACAGGGGGTTTTATGCCTCTTTCTGCTCAACCCAAAGTGACCAGACATCCTCAGAATCTGTTGTTAATGTCTCTGTTAGGTTAAGACCCCTTCTTGGTAGAGGATAGCAAACTTTAAATTGTTGAATTTAAAAGTTAAAAATGAGATGTAAACTAAGCACTATCTCCCTTTCATTCTTAAACTCCCCACCATTTTCTTGCACGGCCTCACTGCTTAAAGTGAGTGGCTGTGTACCCACCTGATAGATACTTAGGCCCACATGAGGAGCCTATGCCTTTCGTAACCTTCCAGCTTTCCCCCACGCCTCTAGGATTGGCATGAAAAGGTAAAATGGGCCAGTCAGACACAATTTACCTCCAGATTATGCTTTTCTACCCATTCAGATGGCAGAGGCAGAAGAAATACTGGAGGAAATCTTGCTTCATTTGTCTCCATCTCATTGGACCATGGATTGGAACAATGAGGAATAATAAAATTTGAATCAAAAGTTTTAGAAATATTTTTTGTTTGTAAAACTGACTTGCTAGAACATAACAGTGGCATACACTGAAGTCGTGAATGCTGATTTTGCCCTTGTGTACGTCCCCTTAATTTAAAAATAATGCCTGCCAGTTACTATCCACTGATTTTAGTTTGGCTTGATGTTAAGTTTTGAGTTAGGTCTTTCTTTCTAGTTTGAGTGTAATTACAGTGTAATTAATTTAAAATACTAATGTTGTTTTGCTACTGGAAGTTACTGGTTAGATGAAGAAAATATCACCCAGTAACTGTAATGTTTAATCCTGTATACTTTCAGTTACAAAAAAAAAACACACTGCATGACCTGTTGCGAATGGTACTTGCAGTTAATCTTAAAGTGCCCTGAAGCATGCTCCTCTGGACAGCTCTGAGAGTGGCTCTCCTGCCGCACTGTAACCCTCCCTCTGCCTTTCTGCTTGCATTCCCCTGTTGGCCACTGGGCCTGTTCTCTTTCTGCATCCCCTACTTCATTGTAAGTAGGTAAGCGCCAGTGGCGGCAGGTGGGTAAGTAACTTTGCCCTACTTTCATGAACGTACAGACTGTATTTTATACCGCACTGGCTTGTTCTGTACAGTGGCCAAGTTTGTAATTGAGGGACCCATAGAAATGTATGTTAAGAAGACCAGTGTGTTGATAATGATGCCCCTCATAGATCCGCTGAGTATAAATTTTGAAAACTGATTGTAAAGTACCTCTACTTCAGTGCACTTTAGCAGGCTGAGTACCTTTATGGAACAAATAAAAGCAAATTCCTATATAAATATTTCTACATCTTTGTTGTATCTCAACTAAAACTCACTGTTTCTATGTACCAGAGGAAGTGTTTCCCCTTTGAGAGTCTGAGTTCTCACTTGCTCTTTCTCTGGTGGTGTATGTATGAGGGAAGTGGCTATTTTATATATGGCACCTGAGTCGGGATACTTAATATCCCTTTCTAATGAGAATTAGGAGAAAGAAACTTCTGTTGTAAGTGGAGTAGAACTGTGGATTTAGGAAACAGCAACTGCAGGACACCTGTACAGTTGTATCACATTTTACTTTTCAAGTTTGCTTGACAGGGTCAGTGCTGCTTGCTCATTTACTAAAGCCGGCCAGCATTCCAGTCAGCAGCTCGTTGGCCTGCGAAAAGCTGTCTACAGGACTGTGAGTGCCAACTTCCACGCAGCGAGGCTGGCCACCCTGCACATGCTGAAAAAATATCCTTTTCTGTCTGCGTGATAAAAAGCAGGACTAACCAAGTCAGAATGGCATCCTATAGAAGTGAGCTGAAGAACAAAATTGCCTGTGTAAAGCTGATTTCCTTTGTAAAGCGGGAAATGTATTCCAGAGGGGTGACAAGGACAGGAAGAGAAACTCTCTGCTTCTGGCTCATTTTTAATGGGGAAAGATTATGAAGTCCCTTCCTTCTCTGTTCTGAGGAATATTCCAGAAGAGCACAACTTTAATCTTTGAACCAAAGGAGAAAGGGACTTCAGAGATTTGATTTGATTTGATTTTTTTGGAGAGAAGGTCTCACAATGTAGTCTAGGCTGGCCTTGAGCTCAAGCTCAAGGCGATCGTCTTGCCTTGGCCTCCCAAGTACTGGGATTATAGGCATGCACTACCGTACCTGGCTGGGTCTGACATTTAAAAGAAAAGATGAATTTGGCAAATTTGTGTCATGACCTGATAATAAGAGGACAGTAGGAAATCCTCCCCTTTCCAAAATGTAAACTTTTAAGTTCACATTTTGACTCTTGTCACTGCCTGGATGACCTTGAGCAAGTTTCTTAACCTCTCTGCACTTGCTCTTTTAATCTTTAAAATGGTAATAATAACATAGTCTTCTTTGCTGTGGTGCTGTTAGGGTCACAGGAGTTCATGGATGCAATGTGATCACTGTGTCTGGCACTCAGGAAGCAAAGACCTCGAGACAGGGAGTCTATACTTGAATTTACTAAGTTAGGGCATTGCTTCAACCAGCCAAAGAGCCAACCACGAGGTTCACGTGATCTGTGTTTCAGTAAAGATTCAGAGACGCACTCACTACAGTATGGCAAATGGAGGCAGAAAGACCGCCCCGCACCCCGAGCACGCTGGGAGCTGTGGTGCTGATCGCCTCGGTGTTGGTTGCCAGGAGACTGTGTGTGGCACGGTGCCGTCCTACACAAAAACATGTCCTAGGTAGATTGTCTCGTCTTCACTTTATGGGAAAACAAGTAGAGGTTATCTGCCAGGTATAGCGTCACACAAATAATAGGTAAAGCATTGACTGTGACTCATGACTTAAAACACTGAATATCTGTGTGTGTAACTGTGCCATCCTACCTCCAGAAAATGGAAAGAAAACACTTTGATCTGCACCAAGAGTCGCCCATCCATCCCCCCACTCCCTGAAGATTTCCCTGCAATGGATCTGGTATTCCAGGCACTGAAAAGACGATGGAAACGTCCAGAACGAGTGTTAAAGGCCTTCATTCAAAATCATGGTGACCGTGGGAAACCCGTTTCCCTAATTCTTCCGAGTTAGGGTCAATATAGTTTTCCTGCCACCTTAATTATAAACACGTTATTTTGAGTAATACCCCAGCCTAAGAATTGCAGCAATAAGAGAAACTGAATCTACATTTGTGTCAAGGTTTTACCTGTTGCAATGAAATCAGAAAGATGCTTCCCAAATTTGGCCCTGGACACTGCCGCTGATGGGGGTGTGGTCCTGCGTTCAGTGCAGACGTCATTTAGAGGTCTGAAAAAGCTGAGATTTATCCTGAGACTAAACGTTGCTCGATCTGAGTTCTGTGACACAGTTAATATCTATGTGTACCGTAGCTGTATATATCTGAACCAAGTTTTGTTCAGAAGTTAATATATTTACAGAAAACAGTTTTTATGATTAAAGTTCACATTTGAACATTAAAAAAGAGTGTTAAAGACCTTTTAGCTTGCTCCGTAGAGAAGCCAGCACTCCAGTACAGGTCCTTATGCTCAGGCCGCACTGCAGTGCAGCAGGACACTGCCCTTGGGCTTGTGGGACCAGAGACACGAGGGGCCGGCAGGAGCAGACCCTCCACCCTCGAAGGTGGATAGAAGTTAAGGGTGTGCATTCCTGGGAGGAGGAAGATAAAAGTACACACAAATAGCAGGATGTCTGTGAACAGTGGGAAATGTGCAGCTGTTAAGCAAACGGTGATAGGGTTCCTGGCGCAGGACTGGAGAGCGACTGAGAGAGGACGCAGGTGGAGCAGAGGGAGGGTCTGGCTGTGGCGCAGTAAATACACGCTGCCGCCTCAGAAGGTGGAGGTCAGGAATTACTCAGTGCAGCTGGAAATGGTGACATGTGCCCATGACTCTAGCATTTGAGAGGCTGAACCTAGAGGATCACTGAGAGTTTCAGGTCAGCCTAGGCTACACTGCAAGACCCTATTTCCAAAAGAAGAAAAAATCATTGATATTGTGGCTTTCTTGAAGTGCTGACTTTGAACTGTTGAGACAAAAAATTGTATTCACAAGAATATGAGTGGGGTTTAGCTCAGTGGCGTAAGCACCTGCCTTGCAAGCACTGGGTCATGAGTTTGATCCCGGTACCAAAAAAACAAAATCAAAAAAGAGTATTGAGTACTGTGTTAATGTATTAGTCTAAGCTTAATTCTGCTTAAAAATTGATATAAATCTCCAGTAACAGTTTGAGCTCAAGGCAAGCGTGTATGACTAGCCAAGGCGAGGGCAGCATGCTGACCAGGCGTGTTGATTGCCTTAACCCGATTTAACCTACCCCCTGAGCTCCGAGAGTGACAATGTCACCAACTACATCTGTGTCGTGCCTTTTAAGGAGCTGGGCCTGGGGCTCAGTGAAGAGCAGATCTCGGAAGAGGAAGCGCATCGCCTCACCGATGGCTTCGGCCTGCCTGCCCTGAAGGTGACCACCTGGGGGCGGGTTGTACTTATGGCTGGTCAGGTGCTCCTTCGCCTTCATCCTTGCTCACTACTTGTCACTTCATGGATGCCTTAATGATGTCTTTATTTTGTTTGGTTGTGCTTTAAGACAGGGTTTCACTATGTAGCTCAGGCTGGCCTCAAACTCACAGTGACCCTCCTGCCTCAGCCTCCCAAGTACTGGGATTACAGGTGTGTACCACCATACCTGGCTCTGTGATACTTCCAAGCTAACAGCATCATGCAGATGAAATAGAGATATTAATATTGTGATATCAAAATTCTTAATATAAGAAATGCCTTAAATTAGAACTTGGAGATATAATTAGTTGGACACAGTGGCATATACTTATAATCCCAACACTTGGGAGGCTGAGGCAGGAAGGTCACTGAGTTTGAGGCCAGCCTGAGATTCATAGCAAAACCATGCCTCAAATAACAAGAACAAAAAATTATAACAAAGGGCTTGAATTCTTGCTATGTAAAGGTACTAAGATATCTAAAATTTTCAGAGCTAGGGAATCTAGCTCAATGGTAGATTGCCTGCCTGGCTCTGGGTTTGATTCTACAGCACCATAAAAACAAACAAAAAAAACATATACAGCTTATAAGAGGTAGATCACAAGAAGAAAGACAAACACCAGTAAGCTCAACCTTCCTAATGAAGGAAAATAAGTTGATCCTTTGGACTAAGGATGCAGGAAGTTGATCACACGGAGGGTGACTCCACACTGGGGTGGGAGTGAAAGACGCTCTCCCCAGCAGCGAGGCCGGCTCCATGGAGGGGTGCGCACCCTCCTGCTCTGCCCTTCCACACCTACCACAGGCACCCAGTGTGTTCAGGGGATTACGGCACCAGACACTGCTGGCACAGATGACAGATTCCGTAATACAGCCGGTAGCAACCTACCGAAAACACATCCGAGGGACTGCTCTGGTGTCGGTAGTAGAATAAAGTTGAAGAGAAAAACTAACCTGGAAAACAGGAATTAAAGCGATTCCAGAAGAGTCTCTTAAGAAGCCAAGCCAGGCCAGGCGATCCCAGCATTCAGGAGCTGGCTTGGACTGTCAGCAAGGTCCTGTCTGTAAAACCAGACAGCATAGACAGAGACTGGCCTGATGCTAAGTCTTCTCTGTCTGAAAGACTTTTATCTATCTGAACAGGTTTTTATTTCTTTTGAGTTTTGTTTTTATTTTGTTTGTGAGACAGGAGGCTTTGCCCTGTTCCCTAGGCTGAGCTCAGTCTCATGGACTGAACTAACCCTCCTGCCTCAGCCTCCTAACTAGCTGGGGCTATGTGCATGCATCACTACATCAGGCTCCTTTAAATTCTCAACTAGTTTTTTTTTTTAATTATAAAATGCTATATTTTCTGATTTTAAAAATGAATCTAGTCAGAGGTGGTAACACATGTTGTAACCCCAGCACTAAGAAGACTGAGGTAGGAAGATCACCATGAATTTTAAGACCAGATTTCAAAAGACATAAAATCCACACATTATGAAGCAATTTAAATCAAAATTTCCTGATTACCCATAGCTTATGGACAGCCCCTTATCCAGAGCAGCTTCCTTTATCCAAAAATATACACAGTATTTCTGAGTTTCATCTGAACAGAAAATGACAGGATTTAACTCATAATCGGTCATCTTGGTTTGAAGGAGTTGTTTGTTTCTTTGAGACAGGGTCTCATTAGGAAGTTTAGACTGGTGTTGAACTCACATTGTAGCCCAAACTGGCCTTGAACTCAAGGCAGTCCTCCTGCCTCAGCCTCCCAGTGCTGGGATTACAGGAGTGCACCACCACGCTCAGCAGTTGGTTTTAAAATGGAGCAGTAAGTGATACCAACTTGATTTCTCATACATGCCTCCTCCCAGAATGCTATCCTCCCAGGTCAGGCTCTGATCCACAGCCCACCCACACTCCTTGCTGCTCTTTCCACGCTGTCCTTCCCTTCCTGCCTCCCAACACAGGGCCTGCAGGGAGCTTGCACTCAGCCCTGGGCCCTGGTGGGAGTAGGAGCATGGCTGCGTCTTGTTCCTGGCAGTGTTGGGCTTCTTCGGTCACCTTGTTTCACATCGTGGCCACAGCCTTGGTCTCCCCTCTTCTCTTCCCCAAAGTCTTTTCTCCTTGACCCATCCACCAAGAAAGCTGTCTTGTTGCTGATTATCTATTCCCCTCCCTCCATCCACATGGTATTTTTCTTTCTTCCTTTGTTCATGGCTGTTTTGTTTTTTGTTCGTTCGTTAGTTCATTGTTTGTTGAGACAATGTGGCAGACCTGGAACTCACAGCCATCCTTCTGCCTCAGCCTCCTGTGCTGGGAATTACAGGCATGGGCCACGATCCTTGGCTTTGACTGTATTGTTAACAACCAGAAACAGTGTAGGGCAGGTCACTGATGCTCAAGAAATGTTTTCTCAATGCATAAAAGAAAAAAAAAAATACATGTGGACACAAAACATTTTGCTTGAACTGGAAAACTTGCAGGAAAGTTGTCCATAGACAAGCATTCCTAGGTTGCTAGGTGTCGTTAGCAATATGTAAATTTGGCCTTGCTCACTTTCAAAAAATAATAGTTAAATTATGTGAAATTATTTTAGTTCATTACTTGCATAACTTTAAAATTTCATGTAGTGAAATCATCTAATACCCACTTAGATGGACATTGGTCCTCTTTCATGTTGTGAACAAGTGGACTCTCCAATGCTAACAGTTCTGTCCCTTCACTGTCCGCCACTCATCTCCGTGCCAAGTGGTCCTGTGAGCTGCTCAGGGGCCACACTCCCCTGAATGGGGCTCCACTGCCAAAAGCTGGGGTGCCAGCCCCGCTTAGGCCTGTCCAGAATAGGTTTCTTTCTGGGATGTGATCACTCGTGGACTGGTTTGCAGCTCGTTTCTGAGCTGATTTCTAGGCTGAGAGAATGTGCTTGGTTTGAACCCCAAAGTCTTAACCATCATTAGTGACTCATTGGTTTCCCGATCTGGGACAGAGCTGTATCCACAATTCTGGACCCTGTGTTCCCACAGCCATGCCTGAATAATCTGATGGAACATTCTCAGCTAATCTTAGTTAGTCAAGCTCAACTGTATTCATTATTTGGGATAAAGTTTAAAAATGAGGTAGGCATGGTGGTGCATGCCTGTAATCTCTGCACTCAGGAGGCCGAGGCAGCACTACTGCGATTTAGGAGCCAGCCCGAGCTACACAGCAAGAAGCTGTCGCAAAAACCAAAACAAAACAAAAAGTTTTTAAAAATTTAAAGCAAGTTATGCTATCAAGTTTATAGTTTATTTTAAATGCTGACCAACTTTTTTACTGATCAGTCCTTCTCTTTAGGTTCTGTTTCAGCTCTGGGTGGCACAGAGCTCGGAGTTCTTCCGACGCTTGGCTTTGTTACTTTCCACGGCCAACTCGCCCCCAGGGCCGGAGCTGAGCCCTGGGCTCCTGCCGCACAGCATTCTGGCGGAGGTGACCCGGGGCCTGCCCCATGCCCACGCCGCCTGCCTGGAGGAGCTGAGGCGCAGCTACGAGTTCTACCGCTACTTCGAGACCCAGCATCGCTCGGCGCCCCCGCGGGTCTCGCGAGCCCCACAGAAGTCGCAGGAACTGAGCAGTGTGCACACGGCCGTGCGCAGCCTGCAACTCCACCTGAAGGCGCTGCTCAATGAGTAAGTTCCAGCCTGGAGCCGCAGGCGTCTTTCTGGTGCCCTCAGGGCTGCTGGACTGTGTCCTGGCTGGCAGGAGGTGATGGAAGTGAGACTTGCAGTGTAAAGGGTGGCTTAGAGCTGCAACTGTAGCAGAGAACGCGATTTGGAAGTACTAATTGCAGAGAGCACATTTTCTGCTTTTCTTAATTTCACCAGAAAACCTAAAAAGACAGGATGAAGGCACATGTTGTTCATTGTTGTCCAGAGCAGAAATGGAGAAGGTTGTTAAGAGATTCCCGCTGGGCTTGGTGGCGCAGGCCTGTGACCCCAGCACTCAGGAGGCTGAGGCAGGAGGATCCCCAGGAGTTCGAGGGCAGCCTAGGCTACATAGCAAGACCCTGTTTCAAAAAACCACAAATAAGTAAGTCAAACCGCAGACATAACAGCATTGTTCAGGGCCATGTTGCCTGTGCTATACCAGGCATTGTTCCCTGACCCCTGCCTGGCCAGATTAAGGTTGCTGAGGCACATATTTGCCTTGTCATGCATCTGAAAACCTTCTCTGGTTTCCAAGGAGAGAAGCTTAGACTGAAGTGTGCACAATACTCCATGGAAAGGGTGACCCTGCCAGGTGCGGTGGTGCACACCTGCAATCCCAGTGCTTGGAAGGCTGAGGCAGGAGAATCACTGTGAGTTCAAGGCCAGCCTGGGCCATGAAGGGACCTCAAGGCCAGCCTGAACTGCATAGTAAAACCTTGTCTCAAAAAGACCAAAAAAAAAAAAAAAAAAAAAAATGGCCATAGAGCCAGATGTGATGACACACACCTGCCCACCATGCAGGGCCCCAGCATGCAGGGCCTCAGTGCTTCTGAAGCCAGCCCGGGCTATGTAATGAGTTTAAGGCCAACCTGGTCTCAGTAAAGGGTGCGGAGGGGGCACCACCACCCGACCACGGGCTAAGCCCTGCGGCATCCCATCTGCCATGGTCCTGCACACGCTTTGTACAGGCACAGATTCCCCTCATCCTCCAGAGCTGCCTCCAAAGTGCCTCTTCCTTAGCCACTGCCTGTCGGTACCTGTAACTGGGAAGAATTTGGATTCCCGTAACATCACCCGTGTGTCTGCTTAAGATGTTCTTTTGGGCCTGGAGTCAGCCCAGCTTTATCAGCTTTATGACTCTGGGCAGGTTTTTCTGTTTTGTTTTCTATGTCCCTAAATTAAATTCGTGACTTATAAAAAGAAAATAAAATGTTTTATCTGAGCATGGTGGTGCATGCTTGTGATCCCAGCACTAGGGAGGCTGCAGCAGGAGGACTGAAAGTTTGAAACCAGCCTGGGCTCCATGGCAAGTACTAGGCTAAGTACAGAGTGAAACTTAGTCTCCAAAACCCAAGTGCAGGAGTTAGCGGTGTGGAAGGCTTCCACGGTGCCATGTAGCTGTGGAGCCATTCTGCCTAGGAACATTGGCATCTAGGCCTCTTTTCTAAATGAGCTTTAGGGCCGGGGATTTAGCTCAGTGGACAAGCACCTGCCTGGGAAGGGTGAGGTCATGAGGTCATGAGGTCATGATCCCCAGCAGCAGTGGGGAAAAAAAAGGTAACTGTAAGCCTTTTAAATGACACATTCCTCACTTTGTTTTAGAATCTGTTTGTGTTTTTCTCTATAACCCAGGGTAATAATTCTTGAAGATGAACTTGAGAAGCTTGTTTGTACTAAAGAAACTCAAGAACTAGTGTCAGAGGTTTATCAAATCCTAGAACAGAAATTAAAGTTGATCGAGCCCCATGTTCAAGCGAGCAATAATTGTTGGGAAGAGGCCATTTCTCAGATGGACAAACTGCTCCGAAGGAATACAGACAAAGGTACCTGGGAGAGCTTTCTTTGGCTGTGCCTGTCTCACATACTCATCCGCTCAGAGGGTTTTATTGAGCGGCTTTCTTATCTGGAGGAGGAAACTGGTGCCTTTACTTTACTTGGGAAGAGTTGCGTTTAGCTGGTCCTGGGGGTACAGCACTTGGGAGGCTGAGGCAGGAAGATGGCCACATAGTGAGAGACCTTGACTCAAAAAAAAGAAAGCTGAATTCACGTGTTCAAACTGACACTGAATCCAAAGTGTTGACTCTCGTGTTGAATATGAAAATGAACATGATTTGTTCACTAAGTTATTTCTTTTTGAAAAAAACTGAAATGAGCTAGGAAATTTTGAGTGTTTCCCATTATCACAACTTCTAGAAACTTACAGTTAATAAAGGAATGAGTCTCTGGTCACAGGTCAGAGACTGAGTTTTCTTCTGAGGTAAATGGCTGAAGTAACTGCCCTGCCGTAGCGGCCCTGGACATTCATTCCTAAGCATTGGTATTAGCGCTACAGTGTACGAGCGCATTGCCTTGCGAGGTAAAAGGAAGGTGTGAGATTTCACCGCCAGAATGCTCTCGTCTGCCTCTGATTTGAGGCTTGTTTGCCTATTAGTAGTTTATTTTAAATAGTTTGCCTGTGAGTTTTTTTTTTTTTTTTTCACCACTATACTAACGAGGATGCCTGTGAGTTTTTAATTGTGTTATGAGCCCACACTGTGTCGTCCTGGCTTTACCAGGAGGCCAGTGAGACTTACAGAGTCTGCATGGTCGCCAGAGATACTTTAGTGTTTACCACCAGGATGATCCAGTGAACGCTTTGCTCTCTCCCTTTTACACTTTACGCTGCAGAAAGGTGAAAGACATCCTTTTTCCACACCTTACTTCCTTATGTCAGTAACTTGCGGATTCTGGTTCTATCCAGGCACTCAGCTCAGTAGTAGAGTCTTATCTGTGTTGCTCAGATTGTCCAGGGCTCACCCAGAAGGAGCACGTTGAAGTGGGTTTGTACTAAATTGTTGTTGGAGTGCTCCCTTACTGCCTGTACCCCGCCTTGACATCAGCCAGGTCCCTAAGAAACCCTGGTCCTTCTGACGGACAGTGGCATTTAGAGACCGAGATCTGACTAGGGGTGGTGTCCTAGCACTGCTGCGATCCTAGCACTGAGGAGGCTGAGGCAGGAGGGTCACTGTGAGCATCTGGCCAGCCGGGGCTGTGTAGCGAAACTTGCCTCAAAGGAAAAAGAAAAAAGCCAGGCTCTAGAGCTCAGCATGCGTATTGCTGCTAGGCGCCTTTGCTTGTAACCCTTGGTGTGTGACTGGAGCTGTGAGTGCATGTGCTATGTGGACCCCACACGTCGGGGTCTGTGTGTGAGTGTGTGTGTGTGTGCACATGCATGTTACAAAGTAAACCGTGAGCCACGCAGCCCTCTGGTTCCGGGTCTGTACCACCTGATTGGTTCTGCCAGCCCCTTCCCCCTTTCCTGCACCTCCCTGCTGGATGTTGAAAATATGGATTCCATCATCTGCAAAGCTCTTCCCTGACCACCCGCCCCACCTCGAGTCTGCCACCACCTCCCTGTTGTGAGTCCCTCCTGGCCAGGTAGCTCCCACTGCCCGCAGCGCCTGTGCCATCCAGGGCTCCTGCAGCGAGGCCCAGACCTTGCCATCCTGGCTGGCCCAACCCTCCCTGTGCCTCCCCCCAAAGTATCCTGAGTTCACACCCACCAGCCCTTGCCACCTAGGTTCCTGCCTATGGGCAACTGTCCCTTGCCTCCTCTAACCCATATCCTACTTCACCACGGCATTTTACTTTATTTTATTTTATTTATTTATTTTTGTGATACCGGGGATCAAACTCACGACCTCATGCTTTCCAAGCAGGCGCTTATGCCACTGAGCTAAATCCCCAGCCCCTACCACAGCATTTTAGAAAGTATTCTTATAACCAGGTATGGGAGCACATGCCTGTATAATCAGAAGGCTGAGGCAGGAGGCTTGATCCAAGTTTAAAGTCAGCCTGGACTACACAGCAGGACCCTGTCTCAAAGAAACCTGGGTACATAGTGAATTCAAGGCCAGTTTGAGCTACAGAGAGACACTGTCAATAAATAAATCTTAACATTTCATGAAGAACTAACGTGTAGGGGCTGGGGATTTAGTTCAGCAGCATAAGCGCCTGCTTTGCAAGCAGGCAGTCGTGAGTTCGATCCCTGGTACCGGTAAAAAGGAAAAAGACAGAAAGAAAGAAAGAACGAACTAACGTGTTTATATCCTCAAAACTGAAAAATTGTTTTAAAAAAAGTGGTAATAAGAAAAGGAGATGTATCACAGCCACTTGATTGTTCTTCTTAGGGCTGGCTACCTCCTCCACTTCTTCCTGAACCCTTCTAGAGATTTGATGCACTTATTAATAGAAACGAATACTGGTATTATTACTTCATTATTGGATATTACACCAACTATTACGTATCTTCCTCCCTCTGTGACATTATATTCAGCTTTTACTAAACCAAGTCTCTTAATGAGTCTTTTTGTATATTTCCCACACCCTTAATCCTAGCTGCTCTAGAGGCTGAGGCTGAAAGATCACAAGTTCAAGGCCAGCCTGGGAAAGTGAATGAAATTCTGTCTCAAAATTAAAATGCTTTAAAAGGCTGGTACAGCTGGGCATGGTGGCACACACCTGTACTCCCAGCACTTGGGACAGAGGCAGGACAGTCAATGAAAGTTGTAGGCCTGCCGGAACTAATAGCAAGACGCTGTCTCAGAAATACAAATGAACAAAAAATAACAGGAATAAAAGGAATGAGGTAGAGCGCAGCGGCCAGGCTCTTGCCCTCTTAGCGTTTGCAAGGCCGTGGCTTCCACCATTTTTAATTCCTGTTCTGACAACTGTTTATTTATACACTTTGTCCATTTTTTTGGTTGTCTCTTTTCTTCTGATTTGTAGGTGCTCCTTTATATGATAGGGAAATGGCCATTTCATAATGATATTTCATTTCATAATGATAAAATGCAGATATTTTCCCTGGTTTTTCATAGTTTCCGATTTTTCTTTGTAATAGATTTTTCCTCACAAAAACATTTTGTGGGCTTCATTTGCACATTCTGGACTTTTGTGTTTTAGTTAAAACTTTTCCATTTTTAATTTATTTATAAATTCTACCATGATTTCGTCTACTTTTTACTTTTGTGCTTTTACATTTTTATATTGACGTTCCTCAGGAATTACCATAGACTGCTCAGTAGGCCCTGGGTTCAGTCCCAGCACCAAAAGAAACCCTTGCCCTGGAGGAGAATCCCCAGGTAATAACAGTTTCCCGTTATTAGAAAATATCTCGAGCTGAGTGTGGTGTTGCATCCTGGTAAACCAGCATTTGGGAGGCTGGGGCAGGCGGACCGCAGTGAGTTCAAGGCCAGCCTGCACTGCATAGTGACACTGTCTCAAAAAGCAGCAGCAGCAGCAGCAGCAGCAGTGTTTAGAAATTCTTAACATGCAGAACCTGCGGGCCTTGCTCCTGAGCCTAGTCGCAGACTGGTAGCATACAGTATTGTCAGGCTTGTCATCACTCACCCCTGACTTTTAAAAACCAGCGTGCATTTTAACAAGATCTGGTCATTATGCACACACAGAAATTTGAGAAATACAACTTCAAGGCAGGGGCTTAGCAATTTGTTTCCTCCACAAGACCGAAACAGCAAGTATTTTGTCCTGCAGGCCAGTTGCTCGGCTCTCTCCCCGGGGTGGGATGGTGGGAGAGCGGGCAGTGCTGGAACCACAAGGAGGCTGCTGAGTCCTGGGAGTGTCTCCTCCCGTGTGGACACCGGCGAGGAATCGGCTCACGGCACTTTGTTCACCATGGCCCCCTGTGCTATTGAACTTTTACTGTCCAAGTTTAGATAATGAGTGCACATAGGAGACAGAGCTATACAAAGACGGGGCCTTGCTGGGGTGTTTGGTGGTGAGTAACTTTGTTTTTTACCCCAAGTCTTTCAGAGAAGTGAGTACCCTCTCAGGAAACAAGAAGGTTAGGGCAGCACAGAAGAGACAAAAGCTGACCTCTTGCGGGGTGTGCTGGGGTTGGCAGTGACCTGCTCGGGCCACAGTACTCCACTGATGTCTGAGTTGGTTCCCATCTGTCAGTGTGGCCACAGGCTTCTCCTGTGCGTCCCCAAGGTTGCATGCACACTGTGGAGCTCGCCACAAGGGCTGTGGATTTTTATGAAATGAATCGCATGCTGCCCCCCACCCCAACTACCGCGTGAGCTGGGGTAACAGTCGGGAGCGCAGAGCCGTCCTGGCGGGGAAACTCCAGCATGGAAAAGAAGTCACCAAGGGCCCCTGGGTGGTCCTGCCGCAGAGCTGAGTCCCTGGTGCGCCCAAGCCAGTGGCCTGGTTCTCCGGCCGGAGGTGGAGCTCCTTGGTGGAACACTCGCCTTGCCTTGTATGTGCAACAAGAAGGGGAGGAAAGGAAGGGGAAGCAGAGGGGGAGACGTTACTGAGACGTGGGTGGCAGCGAGTCTGCGTCTGCTAAGCTGGAGCGGCTGGGAGCGCGTGTGCTGTGTGGTAGACGCGGCCCTGAGCGCCTTCTCCCACGCCTTTCAGTCTTTACAAGATGGGTGCACCATCTCTACCACTCATCTGCAGTTGACTGCGACTTAAGCCAGAGCAGCAAGAGCTGGCATGTCACCGGGGTGTGTCTGGCTTAGAGGCTCATGGCCACTGTGCCTCAAGTCTCTTCCTGCACTGCCTCCTGCTGCAATTTATCTTGGGTTTGGTCCCCAGCCATCTTCCTGGAGACAATGCCCCAGACAGCTTTCTGTAACATTTATTGTCTCATTTTCCTTCTTTAAATTTTAAAACAGGGGCCAAAGATATAGGTCAACAGCACAGTGCCTTCCTGGCAAGCACAAGGTTCAGAGCTCCATGTTCAGTACCAGAAAAATTAAATACATAGGTAACCATCACCTATTTTGAAAGGGAAAAATCTGGAAGCTTAGCCAGTCGAGGTGGTGCACGTCTGTAACCCCAACAGTGGGAAGGCTGAGGCAGGAGGACTACCGTGAGTTTGAGGCAGTGTACACTAGATATGAGACCCTGTCTCAAAAAACCAAAACAAGAAAGAAGGAAAATCTAGAGGTTTAAATAGACATAATGGATACTTATGGAAGAAAACTAGATCTTCTTAGTGGTAAGATGAAGTACAACTTGAATTTTAGCTTAAGATTAAATATGTTTTTGTTTGTTTGTTTGTTTCTACTAGGAATCGAACATAGGACTTTATGCTTGCCAAGCAGGCAATGTGCCACTGAGCTATATCCCCGGCCCAATATTAAGTACCTTCTGTGATTGAGTACCAAACTTGAATTTTCAGTGAAGTAAGCACAGTTAAACTCACAGTTAAATTTGGTATTTCATTAGTAGATATGAAAATATCAAGGTAGGTACAAGGTAGTTACTAGTTACTGGAAATCTATTTCCAGTTCTAACTTCTGAGAGTCACAGCACTTACATGTAAGTAGAACTTGGTTTTTGTGGAAGAGTAGTGATCTGTTTGAAGATGTTTCTATGCCCTGAACAAAATATTTTGCTGAACAACTATTTATAAAGTATCCAGTGTGTGCCAGATACTGTGATGAGGCCAAAGGGGAAAATCAGCTCCTGTCTTCTGAGAATTTAAGTTGACTTACTATGACTTACTAGTAAGATAGTAAGCTGACTTACTATCAATCTACTGGTGCTAGTGCTAACTTTGGTACTATGTGTCTGTCTGTTTGCCTGCCTGCCTCTGTGTGTTTGTGCCTGCCTGTGGTACTGCAGATCATCCCTGGTGCCTTTGCACTGAGCTACATCCCTAGCCCATTTTACTTTTTTAGTTTGAGACAGGTTTTCTCTGAGTTGACAGGTTCCCTGGGCTGGCCTTGAATTTGAGATCCTCCTGCCTCAGCCTCCCAAGTGCTGGGATTGCAGGTGTGTGCAACCACACCTGGCTAATGTTAGCACTTACAATATAAGTTAACCGAACAAGTCGGGCTATGTAACTGACAGAGTCTGTTTTTATTAGACTGCCCCTCATTCTTTTGTGGCCACTCTCACATCTTCCCCCGGACCCCATTTCTCTTTGAAGGCAAGCCTGAAGTGGCCTGTGAGAACCCACACTGTGCCGCAGGACCTCTGCCTCAGCCTGCTCTGCACATCGTGAACAGAGACCCCATCCCCGAGGAGCAGGTAAGGGGGAAAGCACTTTTCTGCCTCCCCGAGAGAGGCTGCACACCAAGAGGTTGCTGCCTTTTTTAAAGTGGCGCAAATGGGCGGGGAATTCAGCTCAGCAGCTCCAGCGCTTGCCTGGTAAGCATGAGGTTGTGAGTTCGATCGCCGGGGTGCAGATAATTGCGATAACTTGGCCATGTGTTTCTACTACGCTTCAAAATGACAGTGTCACGTGTTGAGTTTATATCAAGCTGCAGCTCTTAGGGCCTTGGATTTGAGCTCACTGACTTCACTAGCAGATTTTCATATTATTCTATCCAATTGCGCATTTCTTAGAGGCCTTTAAAAGTGATTAAACACAAGCCAGGCATGGCACCACACACCTGTAATCCCACTTGGGAACACTTGGGAGGCTGAGGCAGGAGGATGGCTGCAAATTTAAAACCAGCTTGGGCTATATAACAAGTTCAAGGCCAACATGAACCTAGTGAGACACTGCCTCAAAATAAAACAAGTGACTAAACAATAAAAATTAGTATATTGGAATACTGATATATCTGGATGTCAGTGCTGGTTCCCTTTATGAATATATGTGTAAAATTCTTGTGCACTTAATATTTACGTCCTTGACTGTGGGGTTTGGTTTGGTTTTGTTTTTTGTTTTGGGTTGTTTTTTTTTTTTTTTAATGCCAGGCATCGAACTAGGACCTTGTGCTTGTGCTTGTGCAGGTAAGCACACTGTGTTACATTCCTGGTGATTGCATACATATTTTACCTCAGTGAGCCGAGTGAGGTGACACATGCCTCTAATCTCCATTACTCAGGAGGTTGGGACAGAGAATCATGAGATTGAGGCTGGTCTGGGCTTCATAATAAGTTCAAGACCAGGCTGAATAGCAAGACCTTGTCTCAAAAGAAAAAAAAATTATATGTGTGTGTGGGGGTATATATATATATATATATATATCTCACTTTAAAAACAAATTTGGTGATGGCATTAGGTATTCACGAAGATTTCTTTTGTTTAGTCTAAGAAAATCTTCCTTTCCTTGGAATATATTATCCACTCAGTATTCCAAGTTGCAAATGGAAACCAACCCTCAGCTAGTTTAATAGACGTAACTTACTTAAACACAGACCCACTCGCTCAGAAGAGTGGTCCCAGCAGAGACCCAGTTGGTTGCTGAGCCCCTGGGCAGGGTCTTGGCCTTGCCCTCGCCCCTGCAGTGCTGGATGGGGAACCCACTTGAGAGCTGCCCCTCTGGACACTCACTGGCCCCGCCCTCCAGGGAGGCTCCTGTGGGGCTGCGCTGAGATTCTGAGCTGGCAGGTGCAGGGAACGCTGGGGTCTTGGTGCTCCTGCCCCATCATAGAGGGCAGGCACATCGGGCAGAGTCCTCTCATCTCTGCAGGCTTTAGATTGCCGGGAGTCAGGAGGAACCGAGACAGCTGCCCCAGGAAAAGCCCTGTGTCCAGGTGCGGTGGCTCGGGCTATGACCCCGGCAACCCGGGATGAATCCTGGAGCAGGTGGATGTTGAGGCCGAGGCCAACCCAGGCAGCTCGGCAAAAGATGAAAAGGGGGGGCCAGGGATTTAGCTCAGTGGCTCGGGTGCTTGTCTGGTAAGTGTGAGGTCATGAGTTTGATCCCTGCCTGGTACCAGGAAAAAAAAAAAAGATGAGAAAGAGCTGGGTGCAGAGCACAGTTCAGAGGCCTCGGTTCCCTCCCCAGCCCCCCGCAGTGTCGCCAGCCCCTGGCCTGGCCTGATTGGCCCGAGCGGCAAGCCAGCCATGCGAGTTCAGCGCTCTCACCACACTTTCAGTGCCAGCCGAGGGCTGTGTGGAAGAGCTCAAGGTGTCTCCAGACGCTGCAGCCTTCCCCGTCTCTTACCCAGCTGCCCTCCTGTGACCCTGTGTCAACAGCAGGGCCGGGCAGCCCTGAGTGAATGTGGCTGGAAAACTGCGTGTGAACTGAAATGCTCACCCTTTCATTCTCTTTCAGGAGTTAGAAGCTTACGTGGACGATATAGACATGGACAGTGATTTCCGGAAGGACGATTTCTTTTACTTGTCTCAAGAAGACAAGGAGAGGCAGAAGCGGGAGCAGGAGGAGTCCAGGCGGGTCCTGCAGGAGCTGAAGTCCGTGCTGGGGTTCCGAGCGTCCGATGCCGAGCGGCAGAAGTGGAAGCAGCTGCTGTTCAGTGAGCATGGTAAGTGGGGCTGCAGGGTCAGAGCCATCTCCTAGGAGTAATCCTCGGTTCCGAGCCCGGGAACCTCGCTCCAACTTACCTAAACCATTGAGAAGCTGACCCCTAAGGCGTCAGCTCTAGGGATCCACTAGGAAGTGCTCAGTTACCACCGGCAGAGTTTGCTCGAGGAGCACATAGCCAGCAGCTTGTCTGCAAACCCACAGTGGCTTCCTTTCTTATTTTATTAGCTGCCCCATCAAAGGACTCCATGCTTCCCGGCTGTCTAGCACCGTCCCTCTGGCAGATAAGCTCCGGACCTAGGCTGCTCCGCTCAGACCGCAGGTCCTCACTCCCTCCTATTGGGAGCCCTTCCCGCCTCTGCCGCTGCTCTGCTGCTCTGTGCCCTGCAGGCACCAGCCCTGGGAGGCGCCAGAGGCCGGTTCCCGTCTTCTGCTTGTCTGCCTGTTGGGCCTACGTGAGCTAGAAATGATAGTATTGAGTTTTAGGCATTATTGTTTTCTGGGTGTTCATTTTGTTTTGTATGTTTGTGTGGTACCAGAAACTGAACCCAGAGCCTTCGTGCCGAGCTACGTCCCCAGCCCATTTCATCTTATGTATTTCATTTTACTTTTAATTTTCATACGGGAACTTGGTAAATCATGAAATTGCCCAAACTGGGCTCAAACATGGCAGTCCTTCTGCCTCAGCCTTCCAGAACACTGGGGTTACAGGTATGAGGATAGAGCTCAGCAGCCTTAGCCCCTGCCTGGCAAGCACACGGTCCTGAGTTCAGTTCCTGGTACAGAAAGAAAGAGAGAAAGAGAGAGAGAGAGAAAGAAAGAAAAGCACAGATGTGCACCACCACACCTGACTGGTGTTCAGGTTTTCATCTCTGTAACCAAACTGCAATCTTCTGATGCGAGGCTTTATTATCCTGCATGGCGTTTATTCAGCAAGTAGTTACTGAGTACCTGGTATGTGCCTGGCGCGTCTACTGCTGTGCGCTGAGGACACAGACTGAGAGACACACATGCCTGCCGTCCTGTCAGGGGTGTCTGTTCTGTCCCTGGGTCGCCCCTGCTGTGGTTCTACACTCCCTGCAATTAGCAACAAGTGTGACTCTCAGTCGACTCTAGCATTGTACATTTGGTGAGAGCTAGCAGGTTTCTAAGCTGTGTGTGTGTGTGTGTGTGTGTGTGTGTGTGTGTGTGTGTAAACAGCACTGTGTCTTTTCAATGCTCAGTATTTCCTTCGCATAGTTTTAAACTTACCTGCTGACAGCTGGGCAGATGAGAAGCGTGTCTCGGTTCAGGTCCAGCTTTCGAACCAGTTTGCAGTACTGCCGCGCAGCTTGTGAAAATACGTAAAAACCTGTTAGTAGCATAAACTGCTTTTCCCTTGCCAATGCCAGTCCATCTTCCAGAGCTGTTTTCGTCTCTGCCTACAGGGATAAAGTCCGAATGGAATTAGAGAGGGACCCTGCTCTGGAACCTGCTGTGGCCACTCTTTTCTGTGTCGCTGACTCTCTAGTGGAGTTACTGCAGCGCAGGGATGGCTCTTGGAAATGGACATGTTTTACCAAACAGTTTTTTAAGTACACGCCAGCTCTTCAAGAAGCGCTCTTTTCCTTCCGTCCTGCCTCCTAATGTGTTGTACCGTACTAACCCTCACGCTGGGAGGAGAGACCGCCTCGCCAGCGACCCACTGCCTACTAACATCGAGAGGGGCTAAATCCCACCTCATTCCCTTGCCAGGACGCCGGGTGCCGTACGGACGTGTGTCGCATTCGTGTGCTGTACCTTGCTCTCTCGTGGGTCTCGAATGCACATTTATTTCCTTTGTGTGCTTCTGCACACTGTGTAGAGGTACGGCCTTCCTTCCAGTAGGGCCTTGTAGGTGGCCGGGGAGTAAGTTGAACTGTAAGTTGTACTTTTCCGTGCTGGTTTAACTTGTAAATATATACATATATATGCTGAAGATATGATTATTTAGAGCACATAGACGTTCTACCTAGTTCATTTTGAGTGAAAACCATGCTGCTTACTCTTTCTCGACAGTGATTCTCAGACTTTCTGTGCGTGAGAATCAAGTGGAGGGCTTGTCAAACACAGCTGAAATCAGTGTGTCTGAGACTTTCTAGGTGATCACAGACCCGTTTGGTTCAGGCCACATTTTGATCACCTCTGCTTTCAAATAAGAAAATAGCATTGTATTACAGTGATTTCACTAGACAGTTTTATTAAGCTTTTTAAAAATTTATCGTTCTTTTGAAAAAGAAAGCCGTGAGGAGTTTAGGTTAAAAATCATCGCTGGGTCCTTAGTTATTCTGTTTCTTTTTTTCTTTTCTTTCCTTTTTCTGTTTCTTTCTCTGAAGCTGTGTTGAAACCCTTGTCTCCTGTAGACACAGTGGAGCCCCTAAGTAATTCAGAGCCGCCAGTGAATTCAGATTGCGGCGCGGTCAGCCAGCCAGCTGCCGAAGCGGGACCTAGCGAGCCCTCCGCAGCCCACAGCGCAGTCAGTAGGACTGAGTCCTCCCGTGGGGTCCCGAGTCCGGCCGGACCCGCGGGCGAGACGCTGCGCCAGGGCGCGGGAGAAAGCGCGTGCTTCCAGTGCGACAGAGACAGCGACAGCGAGTCCGAGCCGCCTCCGGCTGCGCAGCCCAGGCCAGCGCAGCGACTGGCCCGGCTGCAGCTGTCCCCCGAGTTCAGCTTCACCGCCGGCCTTGCCGCAGAGGCGGCTGCCCGCTCTCTGTCCTTCGCCACCATGCAAGAGCAGACTTTCGGCGATGAGGACGAGGAACAGGGCGTGGAAGAAGACCAAGACGAGCGGGACGAAGGAGAGCAAGAACCCGGATGAGCGTGAAGCCGGCTCGCTGGTCCTTTCCAAGTGTTCTGGCCCCGAGACTGGAGAGGGGAGATGCGTGTGAGTTTACCATAGACAAAGCTAAGGTGTCAGGTCGCAGGAAGAAGCCTGGGTTGAACAGCTGCTCTCAGATTAGTAGTTACCTGTAAATGGCAAATCTTGTAGGAGAATAAGAAAAAGGTAAGGGCTCCTTCGCTTCAACTGGTATTTTATTTGTGGCACAACCAATAATCTTGGTAACCCTTTCAGTCCTCTTAATAAGAAATGAATTTGCTCTTTCTTGCCAGAATTTGCTGTCCTGAGGTGACCAGGATAATCCTCTCAAAAGAACATGACCGTTTAGTATGACTCCTTTTTACTGTACCCTTGCAGTTAAAAACTGCAGTTATTATGTTCTCAAGTTGTTTGTATTTTATTTTTTGTTTATACCGGTCTTCAAACAAGACACAGGCTCTGAATAAAACAAAAAATAATTCATACAATTGATGTGTCCTGGGATTTGGAACTTCAAATAGTTTCACAGTATTTGGGTTGTGACACATTTCTCTTTTTCCCTGATTGATCGTGTGTGAATTCTGTAGCTCATCCTAACAAGCACTAAAAGAAAACAGTGTACCATGTTGAGGCATATCCTTTCAGTTTTTTTATTTGTTTGTTTTTGTTTTTTTTTTTTTTTTTTTTGGTCACTTCTTCCATTCCAGTTACAAGAGATGAAAGTGAGACCCTGGTGGCCAAAGACTCACTTCACCTTAGCAAACTAGTTTTTTTTTTTGTTCTCTTTTGAGACAGGGTCTCGATATGTTGCTTGGGCTGGCCTTGACCTCACTATGTAGCCAGGCTGGCCTCAAACTTCCAGTGATGCTCCTGCCTCAGCCTTGGAGGAGCTGGGGTTACAGGTGTGCACCACCATGTCCACCACGCAGGTTGATCTTCATATCAGTTTTCCTCGAGTTAAATGTGTGCTGTAAGCATGAGCAGGTCGCAGTGCTGCTACTTTCTAGCCTCACCACCTTACTGAGTCTCTGGAAGCCTGTGGGCTTTGTGGAAGGCACCCTGGTCTCCTTAGTAACCCCGTTACAAACTACCTCCTAGAAGGGACTGCTTTCCACATCGGCCAGTCTCCTCGCTCCGCGTTTTCAGAGTGACATTTGCAGGTACATCTTGTTTCTGAAACCCATCACTCCTGTGCTCTGATGTGCTGTTAGCTGTTATTGGGACAGCGTCTGAGTAACTCACGCACTGCTGCTGTCCTGCAAAGGAAACGGCGTGGTGATGGAGAGCACCTTTAGATTAAGAAACATCCGCAAGCCTGAAACCCTAGACTTTTGTAAGTAAATTTACTTACATCAAAAGGATTTTCTGAGTAACTATTTTTTATCCTGAGGAAAAACTTGGTTCTGCTTTATATAAGTAGTAGAGCTCTTTGAAACATAATTTGCCTTTTGCTTGAATTCTGGGGGTTAACATGATTAGCCTGTTACAGGATACCTCAGGTTGCATCTGTGTCAAGGAAAAAGAACCTACTTGTGTTAAAAGAGTTTTTGTTTGGGGTTTTTTGTTTTGTTTTGTTTTTTGTACTGGGGATCGAACTCATGACCTTGTGCTTGCCAGGCAGGTGCTTTTATGCTGCTGAGCTAAATCTCCGGCCCCAGTGACTGACTTCTATATTCCTAAATAATTCTTAGAATTGACTTTCTCACTTAAATTACTTATTGCTCACTCCATGCGGGGCAGCTGGCCCCAGTGAGGAAGAGCGGCAGAGAAAGAAGACTCCGGAGACAAGGCTGATGGCGCAGGTCTGCTTTAATGCGGAAGTTTCAGCTCTAAGTATGCTGGTAAAGGGGTGGGCACAGGGCAGTGAGGCAGCCCATGAGGGGCGTCACCCGGACAGGCGGCAGCCTGCAGCACATGTCCACTTGGTGTGCCAAGGGACTTACAGCCTGGAGTGTGCTCTACAAGCCGCCTCTGCTAGGCTGCCGGCCAGCTCTGGGCCGCGCACTCCCACAGGTTCCCCTCCTTTTTTGTTAAAGCTAACTGTATAGAAGCCATTAGTGCTTGGGTAGATTGCACACGAGAAAGGTGTAAGGACAGATATCTGAACAGTAATAATCCCCCCAACCCTGGGGTGGTGTCAGGGGAAGGGCTCGCAGAGCTTGCTCAGTGAGCGTTTTTATGTCGTTCCAGGTGACTGGTGTGGCTCTTATGGTCCTCAGGCGTCCTTGTCCTCATCGTCGTCGTCGGGAGGGTCTGTTTCTGGAAAGACACAAGCGAATCCTCTACCTTGGGTTAGTAGGGGAGCAGCAGGTTGCCACTATTGACTAAGGGGGTCCTTCCATCTCACCAGAGGAAGCGGAGGGAGAGGGGCAAGTAATGGACCCCAGTGTTTGTGAATAGGAGATGGCAGTGGGGGTAACCTTATCTGAAATGTGATGACCTAGGAAGGCATAGGGAGCTTTAGTCTGGATCTTTTCTGGGGTGATTTGGAGTCCCAATATCTTAAGGTTATTTAATAATTGTTGAAGACCCGATTGTAATTGGTGAAGGTCTGTTTGGGAGAGAAGAATGTTGTCCATATAGTGGATACAACAATAAGAGGATGGGAGGGGTTTTATGGCGTGATCTACATACATTTGGCATATAGTAGGGCTATTTATTATTCCTTGAGGAAGTAACCTCCATTGATATCTCCTAACGGGGCCTTGATGGTTGGTCACAGGGACTGAAAAGGCAAATCTAGGATCGTCTTGTTTGTGTAGCGGGATGGAAAAAAAAATAATCTTTAATACCTATGATGACAATATGATGATTTTTTGGAATTGCTGTAAGGGATGGTAGCCCTCGTTGAAGGGCCCCCATTTTTATGTTTGTTAACTTCCCTAGGATCATGAAGCAATCCATATTTTTTTTTTATCTTTTTTGTGGATAATGAACACTGGTGTTCCATGGGCTAACAGATGGTTATATGTGTTTTTGGTTTAGTTATTCCTCAATTAGTTGTTGGAGGGCAGCTAGCTTTTGGGACAGCAAGAGCCACTGGTCCACCCATACAGGAGTATCAGTGTCCCAGGTCAGCTATATGGGTTGTGGCTTCACCACGGGAGCCATGGCCCCTATGGCGGGAAGGGGTGGTTCAGTGGTTAGTTTGACATTTAATTGAGATAAAACATCTCTTCCCCACAGAACTTGTGGAAGGTCCTTTAGAAATAAGGATTGGATGTATCCTGAATGTCCTTCGGAGTCTCTCCATGAGAGAAGACTGGCCTGTCTGTACAGCGGGCTGTTGGCCTGTGGCTCCTTATACTAAAGGTCCTGGGGCTGTGGGCCAAAATGTGTCATAAGGGTCCATTGGAAAGCAGGATTGTTCTGCCCTGGAATCAATAAGTCCAGATATTGACATTTGTTCTACTTCTAAGGTCAGGAGTGCCTTGTTTTGGGTGATGGGCACGGTGCATAAAATTTGTGAAGTAGGGGCTGGGGATTTAGCTCAGCAGCATAAGTGCCTGCCTTGCAAGCCCGCAGTCATGAGTCAATCCCCAGTACCAATTAAAAAAAAAAAAAAAGTTGTGAAGTAGTTCATATTTCCCTCTTTTGTTGTCAGGCTGAGGGTTGCCCCTTTCAAGTTTAAAGGATTGCCATCTTTATCTGTCTTGGATTGGCAGTTTTTGCCTAGTGACATCCCCTTTTACATTTGGGTCATGGTGTGGGAGGTTTTGGCTTATTATCTGTTTATCCTTTTTTAGGGCATTGTTTGGCAAAGGGTCCCAGGGCCTTGCAATTGGAACATAGAGACATAGCACTAGAGCCAAATTGTAGATGGGCAGCGAGAGCCACCACCAATGCTTGTGCCCCTTGTGCATTGACTTCTCTACATGCCAGTATCCATTGGTCAAGATCTTCATTTTTAATAGGGGGTATCAGAGTCTGGCATGTAGGAGTAGCTCCTTCAAATATTAATTCTTTAGTTAACACATTAGCTGCTGCTTCATGTTGTACCTTACATTTGCAGGACTCCAGGACTTTGGAAGCAAACATGGTATGCTCATGAGGATACCAATGTAAGGGGCGAGCAGGGTTTTGATGTAAATTAACAGGGAACATCTCCTTGATCCCTTCTTCCCATTCCCAATGTTTAGTTTGATTACCTCTAGTGCAGCATATGCCCTCATAAAAATCATTCCATTCGGTGACATCTTGTGCCCTTTTCTTTGTTTTTTTTTTTTTTTTTTTTTTTTTTGTGCCCTTTTCTTTGTATTAGCCTGTTGGTAGGATTCTCATGGGTCCTTGGGGTGCAGTGATACATGGTCGCCAGCAGATGGCGCTGAAGGATAAACCAGAGGCTCATCCTCTAGGTTCTGCTTTCATCATAAGGCAGGGTTTATTTGAAAAAGCAGAACTCTGTCAGTAAGGGGAACTTCCTCTCAGCACCATCTTTAGTTCTTGTTTTAAAGGCTCAAGTGAGGGTTACATTTTTTGTGATTTGAGTGAAGGGGTGGAGGCTTCTTTTTTAATTGATTCTGCTTGATTTTGTGTGTGCAGCAAAAGATCTTTTTCTAATTCTTGGGTGAGGGATGGGCCCGCAGCAGGTGTTGTGGCTGCGCAAGTGGCGGGATCCGCTAGCAGCGGAAAGGCCTCTGAATCAGCTCCAGTAACGCTGTCTGAGCCTGTTAAGCAGGCCCGTATAGTGAGTAGACATGATTGGAGCCCTAACGGGAAGACCTTCCCCTCATATTGTTCGGCTGCCTGGACTCGCTTGATGAGGCAGGTCCAAGTTTGAGAGTCCCAAAGACAGCTTGAAGCCAGGGATTAAAAGGGAGAAGTTTCCAATATTGGGAATGGGTTTATAAGAAATCTTACAATGTCTAGCCTGCAAGAGCAGTGAGAGCCCATTATGAGGGTGGGGGCCACTTACCAGATCCTGGGGGGTGCTCAGAGGCCCTGTTCGGGTGCCACGTGACGCTTTGGGGAGCGTCAAGGGGAACCTGGGCCTGTGGTGAGTGGCGATGGAGGAAGTCACTCTGGAGACCCGCCTGATGGTACAGATCTAATTTTATTGCGGCTGTGCTAGAGATTACATAGGATGGATGAGGCGGGGCAGGGGAGTGGTGAGGAATGGGCAGAGGGAGGCCGAGGGGTGAAGTCAGAGTGGGGCAGCATAGGCAGGGCGAATCACTTGGTCTGCCAAAGACATAGAAAGACTGAGTCTGCTCAGGCTTTCTCCTCTGTAATGGCTGTCAGCCAGACCTCTGGACCTCTAATCCTGACAAGTGCAATGATTAAAACATCTGGTTCAACACAAGTGTATCGCCATTTTCCATAGCTGCTTTCCTAGGAGGCAAATGGTGGTGAACAAAGGGGTGATTTTTGATAATATAGAGTAGGACAAATGGACCCAAAACAAAGAACCTTGTTGCCACAGGACACCTATGGACATTTGTGGGGTGTTAAGGACCAAGGCCTGGAGGGGCTGGTTAGGATCATAACT